TGTAACACGCAAGGCAAAATAAAATTTTTAAATCATTTCGGCTGCTTTGTGCCGCGTGTTGTGTAAATGATGTCAAAAGGTGCTGATAAAACGAGTGTCACAGCAAGAAACAATCATTTTTGCCGCTGGGCGAAGCTTGCATACGCTAAATGCATGATAAATTATTTGTATTTCAAATATTGTGATGTAAATGTTACAATGTTAACCTTTTTCATGGAAATCCCTTTTACAACTCTTTCTTGTCTAGTCCCCTGTTATGTTATCAGTAATGATTTATGTTAAGCATAATAGTGCACGTCTGTTACAATTTTACATATACATGTAGTTTACAGACAAAAGGAGTCGCAGGGCGAAATTGCTGTTAGGTTAACAGTGCACGTCTGCATACATTCTTTACATATAACTTACAGATTAAAGGAGTTGCTGAGGGAAATAGCGATAGCGAGCACAGATTAATGTCAAGCTTAACAGTACATAACATAAAACGGAAATGTAAAATATCATTTGCATAATGATTTTATATTTCTACATAGTTTTACTGATATCTGCTCTGTGTGCCTCTATCCGTTCAGTAAACAAGTAACAACTACTAGATTAGCATTTATTTTAAATTGAGTATTTTCTATGCGCATTCGTCAGTGGGCTATCAACTTTAGTGGGTATGCTGGCATACCCTCACCTAAAATGATGATGCTGAAAGCATTTTGCATTTGCAGCACGACGGATGCTTATCATGGCGGGGAATGATGGGTCGCGTCCGGGTCTGAGTCCGGGTGCGGGCAACGCGCCAGTGACACAGTTTTTAGCTTAGTCGCAGTTGAAGTGCGGGGCGGGGGACAATGGGGATGCGTCTGTGTCTATGTTTTTCATTTGATTGACGCGCTCGCGGCTTCAATTTATTTATGCGCAGCATTTCCATTTAATTTTTTTCCATCTCTCAGTTTTAAAAAGCAAAAAAAAAAAAAAAACACATCCACTAATCAGTTTCAATTTGTTGCGCACAGTTTTCGCTGTGGCCTTTGATGAATTTTCGCATATCAGATAGGGTGCTGATAATGAAACCTATTTATAGCATTAATAGTCGCAGATTGAGCAATTAATACCCGACCCGAGGCGTTAAGCGAGCGTTTTGTTAACGATTGAACAAGTTGCAAGTAGTTAGTTGGTCGTAATTGGTAATACGATAACTTATTGCTAACTACTCATTGAACGAGATGCTGAAAGCCAATTTAGATTATTAGATTAACTCTAATTGCTTTGTGACTTTATCACAGTGTTCGGGCAGTCCCGATTAATACGTCAATCAATTCTGTCCGATATCACAAACAGATTTGCCATTAATCAGTGTGTGGCACAATAGAAAATATTGTGATTGAGACTTGGTTGAATCTGCCTGTGGCAAAGTCTCTTATTCCGGGTACAATGAACTTTTTAACCGAAACGAATCTGTTATCGAATGAAAGTAAAAAAGGAATACGTAAGGAAGATTCCTTCCGGCAACAATTCGACGTGTGTCATTCATCTACAAAACAAAAAATTCAAAAAAAAATACAACAATTCACATTGACAGTGCTCAACAAAATAAAAAGAAAGAAAGAAAAACGCAAAGCTGGTAAAGAAAAGCCCAAAGCGGCGAATCAATAACAACAACAACGTCACAACAAAAGTGACTTTACAATGACAAAGTCATTCACATTTGCCGCAACAAAAAAAGAAAAAAAATACAAAAAATAGACATAGCAAAGGGGGCGTGTTGCTTTTGTGTTTCCCAAAATAAACATCAGCCAGCACAACAAATGACAACTTGTTTTTTTTTTTTTATAAAGCCAACATGCAACCGAAACTGTCGCATGCCGCAAGTTCATGCAAGCCAAATGCTTTACTCTCGCGGTCTAAAACACTTCCAGCTAGCCACTCAATGGATTGAACAAATTGAATAATTATGCATCGAAAAATCAATTTGCATATATCTGTCAAATTCCATAAACCATCTCACTTGGCATATCTATTTGTGCATTTATACAGCGTTTAACATTCAGCTAACTAAATGGCAAAATAAATTTAAAGACAATACCAGCACGCTGTGGGAATATTGATCAATCGATGCAGGTATTATAGTTGTGTATACAGAAATAAACTCATACTATATACCAGAAACACTCCATGCTCCTTAGACACGCTCTAACTATTTAACCTTTAAACTTTACTTAATTTTTTCGCTTTCACCAAAAAGCATTTTTTTTAAACATATTTAATTGGGTGATTCATTTGACAATCATTTGGTCAAATCATTCAGACAATGAATTGTCTAATTTGGCCATTCATTCACTTGACCAAAGAAAGTTAATTGCATTTAAATATAAATGAGTTCAACCTGCCTTACGAAAAGTTCATTAAAATTTAAATGCATCCATCATGAATGAAAGCAAATTGCATTTTTAATTTTCATTAATTTTTTAGTTTGTTATTTGGGAAGTACATTTTGACAATATATGCTTCCCAGTACTTACTTTCTCTGTGCAAAAACTTTGTACATTTTTTCACGAGTTTCCCATTTAAATTCACCGTTTTTTTTCTTATCAACCATGCAGATAGAAGATAGAATATTCGAGAAATTCATACAAACATAAAAGATACAATTTTGAGAAGACTTGTACAGATGGCTGATGATATATGATAAATGACATATGATAAATGTTGTCTTTATTTAGCTATTAGCTGACGAACACGTGCCTCTTTTTAAGGTAGTGTGAATATACCCTTGAAATGCTCACCTTATGGGGAGAGGGGAGCTATGCACATAGAACTTTGTATATGGAGTGGCAACTGACGCCTTCGTCTGGATATCAGTCCGGCCATGCCATTTGCAACGTAGTGAGCAGGGTGACCATTTGAATTCATAATTAAGTACACTCAGAAAAAAATTAGAATGAATTTTAGGTAATCGTCATACTTTTGGCGCCAAGTGTAGCTCACTTTACTTTTATTTAGAGGGTGTATACAGTTTTTTGTTTCTTATTTTCAGAATACATTTTTCAATTTAAGCTTTCAAAGGAATTTTAATTTGAGAGCTATTTGCTAAATTGGAAACAGTATTTTGTAGAGTGTAGTTAATTGTGTGACAGCTACAAACTTGGTCCCAAACGGCATTCCAGGCCAAGCGCTTTCATTAAGGCACTTGCAAAGAATTCAATTACTATAGAATTCAAGAGCGTATTTTCTATCGTTGTTTGTGTGACCAACAACAATTCATCTTTTTTTCTCTCTCAAGTCCGACGCTCGATGTCCATTTGCATTTCCAGCCGGATATGAGTATTATAACTGTCTGAAATCGCATGACCCACATGGGTGTTGCCCTCATGTGAACTCTTGTTTTTTTCATTTTCTTTTTTTTGTTGAACGCACAACAAAAGCACAAAAGCTTATTATAAAGTGCGTAATCTTTAAACTTGTTGTATATCTCTTTCTTTGTGCTGCATTACGGGGCATAATTAATCAGGAAATAATATATATAGTATACACATATTTATATGTAATGCACAATCAACTTCTGACCATCATCATCATCATCATCATCATGGTCTAAACATCTTCCTGCTCTCTTGGCGTTTCGTTGAGCTGTCAAGCGATTGAGTTTTGCTTTGGTTTTTGTTTCTTGTTTTCGGCAATGTAAAAACCAATTTCCTCTTGTAATGTTTTTATGACCAACTAGTGTGTTGAGTGTTTTATGTATTTGTGCTGTATACATCTACATTTTTTTATCGCTGGCACTTTCCGGAAAGAGTTTGCTGCCTTAAGGTCTGTAAGCTAAGGCGAATATTTTGTTTGTGTTTGTTTTTCATTTTGCTCTTGGCTTTTCATTTTGCCATGCTTCGGGTATTCCCATTTCCATTATATCCATGTTACTTTATTTCTTTTACCTAATACCCTGTAGACATAAAAACCTTTGGAGGGTATGTCACAAAGAAACAATTTTTCTCAGCAGCCGAATCAGTTAGGATGTAAAAATACTTACAGGCTATCTTCTATTCGATCTGCTCTTATATATGTAAAACATGGTTTGAAATTATATCTTTTTATATACGCAGGTAATAATGTTAGATTTTGTTTATTGTTTTTGCTTATTTTATTTTTTGCAGTCTACAACTTCTAGATTTACAACAAGTTTAAAGTGTTTATTAATAGTCGATGATAAAATTTCACATTCTTTTGAAATGAAAATGAAAGCCACGCAATCGCTACAAAGAGTCTGACCATAAGTATTTGGGTCATGTGAAAATGGAAACAATGAGTTTAGTTGTCTTTGGGCAGTGGAAGGCTACTTTGAACTTTTGAGCTTATGAGTCGATGCTCTTTAAGATATTTTGAATTTTCAAACGTGCCCTGTCAAATATTCATTTGTTTGCCGCATTTCAATAAAGCACACAGCTAAAGATAAACAATTTACAATCATTATCTCTGTGTAAGTTACTGAGCAATGTAACTAATGACTATATACTTACTACAAATGTTTTGCTAGAAATGGTGTATTTAATAACAAAATCCCATTCATATTTAGGCTTAAGTAAAATTCTATTGTTGAAAATGAGAATGCAGATGAAATCCAAGAATTAAGCTTACTAAGTTTATGCTATGCACTTCATAATAAGCGAGAAAGTTCTAGTTGGGTGGAACGGACAGCGAAATAACAGCATGGCCAAGAAAGGTTTTCTTTGAAGGAGGTTCCTTATAATCTGCTTTCCAAGTTTAATAGCTTAACTTTAACTTTTAAATCTTTGAAGGACATTGCCAAAAATATACCAACCAAATTTGGTGACTTGAAATTGTGGAACTTTTTTGTTGTTATCGATTTCTTAGCATATATGCACATATATATTTGTGTAAAATGTGATTTCAACTTTTTTAAAGTAGAAGACGATAAGAATAGAAGTTTAATTTATGCTCCATAAGAATAATATATAATAATAAAATATACTAAATGAATTTGTGTACCTTTACAGACTCTGCTCGTTGACAATAACGCGTCTGTCCATCCTAACACCGTTGCCGGGAGACACCACATCGCTGTCGCTGGCTGTCAAGATGCAGAGTTCGAAGCGAACGCTGCGCAGTCACGAGATACCCATCAATGGCAGTGCACTGACATCTGCGGCATCCAGTCGCGAGAGCTCGTCGTTGCAGGGCAACTCGCCGCTGGCCAATGTGATTGGGGGCTCGGGGATGATTGGCACGCCGGGCAATGTGGGTAATGCGGGCATTGGAACTGGTATTGTGCCACTGACCGAAACGGAACTGGACTTGCACTTTAGTCTGCAGTATCCGCACTTCATCAAGAGAGATGGCAATAGGTGAGTTGCGGCCAAAACTGAGCTTAACCCACACCCACACACTCACCCACAATTTGTTTACCTCTGTTATTTTGATTTTTATAGACTGGTGATTTTGTTGCAACGCCGCAAGAAATATAAATCGCGTACGATTCTAGGTTACAAGACACTCGCCGAGGGCATTATACGAATGGATGCAGTGCTACAGAAATCAATGGATATGATCATTGAGCTGACCGCATCTGGCAAGAACGGTCGGCCCGGCACTGTGGTTGCCTGCCTGCGCGCCGAGCGCGTCTCCTCCATTCCAGTTGACCATGACAATAAGAATAACAACAGCGTGCTGCTGGCAGGTGAGTCACCCAACCCAACCCAACCCATCCAAAACCACCAATCAACCGCTTCACGCAGCTAAGCAACTTATTGCCAAATCCATAAAGCAGCACACAAATGATCATCCATCCCAGAGTTAAGAACAGAGGCGTTAATGACGCAAAGCGGCCACTTAATTGCTTTCAAGGGGGAAGGGGTGTCCAAATAATACATATCTAGCCAGCCAGCCAGGCCTTGCGCTGGATGCCATGATGCATGTGATGCTGCCACTGCCACTGCTGCTGATTCTGTTGTTATTGTTGTTGGATTATATCAATGACGATCCCAATTTAAGTTTATGTTTATGGTAATTGCTTGTGAAACATTTCACAAGCGGCGAGCGATTCATGACGTCAACATTGTGGCCGCATATTTCAAATATATATATTTTATATATATATATATATATTTTTTTGTTCTACTTACCATTGCTTCCTCTTGTAATCAGCATTCCACGAGTTCCCCATAGGAATTTTCATCTGGGTTAAAGCAGCATCCGGCGCATGGCAACAGCAAAAGTGCCGCAGAATTTCTTTGGCGATATTTCAAACGAAAATTCTATGATATACATACCCTTGCCGAAAGTACTATAATTTTACAAGAAATATGTAACATATATGCATATATACATATATGTATATATGATCTACTCGTAACCATATTCATCTGTTGGTCTCAATGCAAATAAGCTTCGAATGAAAATTTATTTAGCTCTAAAAAGTTATATACACAGACTCCAAAAAGTTAAAGAAAAAATGCACTTGTAATCATTTATAACCTGTTCTGTATGTTATTAAAATAATGCAAACTAGCTTCTAAACATATTTCATATTAATATATTTGTTGTGAGCAAAACATGCATAAAACCGAAACGGGAGATTTTTGTTAAAAGCGGAAAAGTATTGCGTAAATTGGAACACGCCTGAAATACTTGAATAAACATGGGAAGTGCTAGTATTTTATTTGCCACTGCAAATGTTTGTCCTCGTGTCAATTATTTTCGTAAATGTCTGCAAGGGTATTTCAACTTCGGCATATTTTATATTTGTGCTTAGACCGCATACCGATGCCATACCCAACCCACAAGCAGCGAGAAATTGTGAGAAAAAAAATACAATTATGAAAATAGCGCGGAAAATGTGCATTTAGCATGCGGCTTTTCACAGCTGCAACTTGCTGCAAATAATGCGGCAGAACTGTTGAGCTTCGGTTGCACACAACACAACTTGAGTAATTTTCGGGCCAAACTTGGCCAATGCCAACTAATGCATATACACATATATTTGAAAATGGCCAAGGTAATGGGCAACACGACCGGATCTTGACACGATGAATGTGTGTGGCACTCATTGGGGACATGTTGCAGCGATGTCCTTGCAATTGCAATTGCTCATAGTGCTTGTCGCCGATTCGGTTGACGGTCAAAACTTGTCGCCTTTCACTGTTGGCATTCAGCCCAAAACGTGTTGGCCATTTGGGAATACGTTGAGCAAAAGGCACTTGAACCCAGTTAGGTCGTCGGGTAGTTTTCGGAGACAGCGGTGACAGACCCTAAATTACTTTTGGGGCTCAGCTTTCTAATTTGCAGAATAAATTTGAAAGGTGTGGGGGCGGGTCACCACCCGCAAAACCCTTTATGCCTCAACCTATTTAGACTATTGATTTTTTTGTTGTCCACCTTTTTCTTTTTTGTACGACCTACAATTGAACTAACAAGCCAAACCGTAGGCCATTGCACAGTCAGCTTGTTGAATGGCACACCCTGACCTGAGATTCGGTCGCGGATCCGGTGGCAGAGAAACATCCCCTTAAGGAACGCGGTGCCATTTGTTGGGCACTCCTTTAGCTGGCGTCCCCATTTGGCATATTGCATGAATTTTCCATAACATTTCCTTCCATGCCTGCTACCCTTCAACCCTGACTGGGAAAACCCATAGCCCGAGTCTAACTTTAAATGTTTACCAATGAAACCTAATCAGCGTTTTAAAGAAGAATGAAATTTATAAATTTATTGCCTGGATTGCAGATGATATTATAATTTATGCGTAAAGTTTGAAGAGTTGATTGAAGGACACCCATTTGAAAAAAAAAGTATTTATATATTCTGAATTAGCATCTGTGCCCGAGTCTATATTTCCATAGGAATATATCCGTTTTCTTGTCTCAGCGGTTCGAATCACTATAGCTGTAATATAACTGTAATATAAAAGCAATCGGTCGAAAGTTGATTTCTTCTATGAAAAACTTATTTGTTGCAAGGCAGTGATTTCAGTACGTGCTTGTGGTTTTAATAAAAGTTAAAGTACTTGCATGCTAATTTCATAATTTCCATAAAATAGGTAAAATAAAATGTGCAATTTTTCTTTCTATTATAATTAGTAATTCAAATAAAAAGTTTCTGTCTACGCTGATGAGAGAGATCTCTCCAAATCCACAGGATTTTTATAAAATCATTATTTAACAATTTATGAATAAAGATTTTAAATATTCATCTACGTCTTACATAGGAATGTCTGCTGTTTAATAAAACAAAATGGGGTGATCTAATTTGAGGAGGAATGACTAAAACATGAGTGAGTCAGCCAAAAAGCTATTAAATAAAATGAATAAAGTATAAATTGCAAATATCTAAAAATATTTTCTATTTATTTATTAACAAGAGACAAACTTGTTGAGCTACTGAATAATACAACAAATATGTAGCGGGTCTAAGCATACCTGAGGGTTATTTAATAAAGTTTCACAAGAAATACAAAAATGGTACGCGATAATCGTTGCGAGGAGCCTTTGAAGAGGCATCCTTGAGATACTATTACGCAGTAACCGTTGCCTGCATTGTCATTTGTCGTCGCTGCTGTGTTTGCAGCTGCTGGCAATGACAGGAATTAAGTCATTTGTCCTTGTGCGCCCGAGATAAGCACGAATGGAAAAAAGCGTAGAAGCGAAGGAGTATATGAATGGGACAGGTAGCCGGATGAGTAGGCCCACCCCCATCCTGCTATATACGATATATTTATCGTTGAGTGTTTAATGGCAAAATGCGTAAATTATGTCAAGCGTTGCTAGGGCGGCGCATCATTGTTCACTTTCAGAGCTGCTTCGTAATGTGCCACCCCCTCCCACCCTCACACCCCAACCATTCCACCCCTCTATTCGACGTCTCGACTGTCTTCTAATGGCAACGTCCGCTGCCTCTGTTGCGAGTGCTTTTTCTGCCGCCGCTCGACGTAGTTGTTGGCCAAGGTCAAAGTAATATAGTACTTTTTGGTGTGCTACTTTTCTTTTTTTATTTGATTTTTTTTTCCTTTGGATCTTGTTTATCTCTTAGTTGGCAGCCTCAGTCGCCGCAACCATGGAAAGTCCCGAACCGACAACAACAACAAAAACATGGCTATTTATATATAAACATTAAATCAATGTTGCTCGTCGCTTTTCAATGCGTTTTTCATAACTTATACGCCGCGTTGAACCCGTCGCAGGGACAGACACGCGAAAGTGTGGCGAGTGTTTGCGTTGTGTCTGATTTGCCCATGGCACGTCCGCCCCTTTTGGCCGCCAACCACATTGCCACACTAGTCCCCCTGGCAACCCTTTGTCTGCCAAATCTGCTTGTTGCCATTCCATTAATTAATGGAGCACAATTCGCAGAAATCTACATAAAGTGAATTCAAGTGAACGATGCAGATGGGAATAGGTGGAGTACATCACACGAATTTGGGGCGAAACACTCATAGCATTTTTAATTACGTAAAGTAATAATGCATTGCTCATCGGGCATAAGTTAATCAGTGTGAAGTTAAGATAATAAAACATTTAGGCTACTGAGATGGGTATCTAATCCGAATCTATGACATTTGAGCATATCACTCAATTGCAATATCAGCACAGTAACATTCCATTAAAAAACACTTCAGCCAACTTGCAGTGTAAACATTCGGAGCATTCTGGAGCATTTTCCCATTCTTTAAGTGCTAAGTGCAACTCATATTTATCTGAAAGGGGTAAGAGAAATGAAGAAGCATTATCTTGTCATTATAATATACTTACAATTGCTATTGCGATATATATATATATATATATATACAATATAATTGTAGTGCAGTTGTTGTTGCTGTTGTTCTTGCTGCCATCAAAAGATTCAGAACCCCAGTCACCACTGCTGCTGCTCCACTTCACATGGCAGCCACTTCACAGTGGAGTCGTCCACTTGTTGTTCTTGTTGTTGCTGTCTGATCGTTGACACGCCATTCGTTGCAGATAACAATATGAAACATTAAAAGCAAGGAGTAACTGTCAGTTGTAGAGCGTCGTTCTGGGTCGACGCGTAAATTTGTTCGAGATGCTTGTTTTCTAATCACCTGGTTTTCTAATCAGCTAACTGTTTATTTAATGCTGTCAAAAGTAACACTTATCCACGCACAAAACACAACTGCACACACACACACATACACGCACACACACAGAGATACACACACTCATTTGTACAATACAAATTTAGGCCCTGAAAGCGTTTTTCATCTTTGCTTCGCACGCTTGTTGCTTGTTGTTGGGCACGCGATGGGTCAATATACATATACATATGTATAGATATGTATGTGGTATATAGATACATATGTGTGCAAGGAGTTGCCGGCCGGTAAAAGGTTTAAATGATAACGGCAGCAAAACATGCAAGCAAAAAAAATAAACATAAGGCAATAAAAAATAAAGCGAAGGAAAAAAACAAACCAGCAGATAGACAAACAAGAGCACAGATCAACAAATTACTCGCAGACAGTAATAAGTAACAGACAGACGGACGCGGCGATGACAGCGACAGAAATATAATCAGGCTTTTGCTGCTGCCATTTTCTTTTATGCACTCAATCGGCTCAAGCTTAGAGAAAGAAACACAGAGAGAGAGAGAGAGAGAGAGAGAGGGAGAGAGTGTGTGTGTGTGTTAGGGCCACAATGAGTGCAGCGCACTGTCAAGTGTTTTTGCGTTCTCACAGCAGCGGTAATTGTATAAAGTATATAAGCATAAACATATATATATATATTATATACACAGATACACATATATGCTGTTCGATGACTTTTTGGTAAATTAGCTGAATCGATGCGTAAAAATAACTTTTGTAAGCTCTTTCCATGCCCTCACACAACCCACTGCTGAGCTCTCGTACACCTGCTTAGCTCTTTCGAACAATGATACATTTCATATGACATGCACGTTCTCCCATCTGCGAGGGCTGTACGAGAGAAGCGTTGCTTCGTATTCTAGACTCTCTGGTGATCTCTTTGCAAAGAGCATTTAATTGGAAGTCTCTTTCACATTTCACCAGACAGATTTCGTTTAGCAAAAAATCATAAATTTTAATATGACTCACTCTGAGATATGGTTATTTATAACGCATTGCAATTCTGAATATTTCATACACGTATGTCTCAAGAAATCTATAAATACACTTATAAGTTATAACTTAACGACTGACCCTCTTATATATATTTACCTATGCAATGCCTGACAATTTCTCGCAATGATTTCAACAACTTCCCCCATTGCGCGGTCAGCTCATCGCTCATCGCACATCGCTCATTGCTCATTGCCCGCTGCTCCCCTCGTTGCTCCATCCCGTTGCTCGACGCTTAGGTGAGAAAGTGGCGCTCTTTGCCGTCAGCTTGTTGCTGCCGTCAGCGCTGCTACTATCGCTGCCGGCGCCGCCAACACAAAACGTGCGAAGCGTCAGCACATCGCATTCATTTGTCTGGCGAGCGTGCAGCGAAGCGCACGGCAAACAAAACGGACTCAACGTTATCGAAGTGAAAGAGATGAGCCGATAACTTAAGGCTGATATCTTGTGATTAATTTATTTACGTATTCAGACTCAAAATACAAACAACAAATACGAGAACAACAAAACGCGCGCGTGGTTTTTGTGTTATTTTTTTGTTGCTTTTATACTGTTTGCTTGCTTTGTTGTGAAGTACGCAGTACCGCGTTCAAGTACAATTATAATTATAAAGCAAACTAAAGAAACTGCTAAGCAAACGGGGCCCAAATAACAACGCAAAAAGAAGCTGCCGGCAGCGTCGTCACGTCGTACAACAACATAAAGTCAACCAACTCCCATACAAATACATACATACGAAAGTACGTACAATAATACGTGCTAGCTGAAAGTGAAGCATAATTTTGATGCTAAAATTGTACTTATCATTGCACATTTATGTTTGGTTATTCAACAGATCGCGTTGCTGAGTACTCGGACGAGGACGAGGAGGCTGAATTCAGTTCTGGTGAATTTAACGACGAGTCCAACGAGCTGGCAATAACGGGTTACGATCAGAAGCGTGACTATAATCCGGCCAAGCATGATATGCGCAAGTATCGCAACAAGCTGCAAAGATCGGGCATTGAGGATATCGCAATAGTTGGCCATCATCAGCATCAGCATCATCATCCCGTCGACAGTGACAGCGAGTTCGAGATGAAGGACAAGAGTTCATCCCGTGCCAAGTTCAGTCGGGTGAGTCAGCCGCCATATAATTATAATACTCTACACTACATACATACATATGTACTTATGCGTTAAACAAGCATATGTAAATCGTGTGAGCAGCCGCAGCAGTTGTGGCCTAATTTGTCCAACAGCTTGTTTAAAATAATTGCTTTGGCCATTTAACATGGCCATAGTCAAGGGCGTTTCCTATGAGGCATGATTCAAACTTTCATATTTCCTATTTTTTTTATCGCACACAGTGAACAAATTACTTTTTTAGTTATCTGGCATATAGATTAAAGACTTTTGTATATTTTCGTATACTATAAAATACACTTGACAACAAAAACAGTTTATAAGATGATATAAATTGACTTTGAATTGATATTGCTAAAGGTATTTAGTATTTTTTTTTTTTGTTTTGATTCTCTTATACAAGATTCATGAATTTTCCGAAGACTTGAAACATTTACTTGTGATTTTGAAAAGCTCTTTCATTATTTTGGTTCATAACCTTTTGTTTTCAAGCTTGTAGCTTTATTATAACATTAATCAGATCGTGTTCATAATAAGAAAATCCTTCCTTTGTACAGGCATAATTGTTAACAACGGTTTTTAGGTGCATAAGTTGTTGTTATGATCACTCATTTCACACGACTGCAATTATAAAAAGCTTTGGGCTGTGACAAGCCGCGCCAGTCGCTCTACATTCGTACTATCAGATTTATATATATATATAAATATATTGTTAAATTATATAGTTTTTTTTGTTTTGTTTTTTTTCTTTGTCTCTTTGCGGTTTTCGAAATTGTAGTTTGATGACACAATAATCGGCCACACAGCCTGCAATTATTTCCGTAAACCGAAAACCAAAACATTTTCGGCATTCACTTGCACAATACCAATACTTTGTACTTGGCCTAAAGCAATGCAGACTCGTTAAACATATGCTATACGAGTATGTACTATATGTTGGCCAAGCTAGCGCATCGCTAAGAATGTTGCTATCGAATTTGTTGACAATTGTTTCTGTTTCTGTTTCTGGCCTTGGGCATTGGTATACATGTGTAGACATACATAATATATGCATGTCGAGTTCAAAGGGCGCTATGCAATGCACAAGGCTGTGCCAAGGTTTGAGTGCCAGAATTGGAATTGGAACTAGAATACCTAGAATTGGCGGATACGATTCAATTACCAGGCACCAGACACCGAAGACGTTGGCTATGGCATTCTGCAATCCATCAACACAGGCAACACTTTCAACTGAGTCTTCATTAAGTCATTGATGACACCTCCACCATGCCTCGCATATAAATACATATATACGCCTTGCTATATGCAATGGATTTGCATTCACTTCCAACACGAATCGAATGCCATTAACCAGAAATAGCAGCTGTGCAAGTGCAGCCGTGCCGAGTGAATAGATAAATGATTGTTTGACTGACTGAATGGGAATTGCATTGCATAAATGTCAGAGAGTGAGCGCTTAACAAAAGGAAAGTTCCAACTGATATTTGTTCAGTATATATTTAATCAAAGAAATTGTATAGTACTGAATATCTTGAATTTAATTCGAATCGAGCACTTTACAATATTATACTTTCATTTGTTCAGTTGGCAGCGAATAAATACATATTCAATATTCGCTGCTGCTTTTTTAGTTAAAATATAAATAATATTCATAATTTAAGCAACTTTTAGATACATTCCAATCGTTGTCTGTTCCATCTTTTTGTTTTTTTTTTTGGTAGAACAAAAATTCCATCCATTGATTGAAATGCTCTTTCTATGTAGTTGTAGCAATAGCAGCCGAACTATACAGCTTGTGCTATTGCTATAGCAATCGCATATTTGTTTTGCTCTTTTGCTCCGGGAGACACTGCCAGAGATGTTCCATAAGCAGTAGCAATAGGTGTTAAATATTTATATTGCTAGGCAGCAGCAAATTCAATCACTGCTTCTAAGTGACTCAAGCTTCTTTATATATTTGATTGACTTTATTGCGTACTTTATTTACTCTTTTCAAATTAAAACTCAATCAGTTAAAGGCAGGAACATTCATATTGGAGCATAAACATATGCATAAATATACCATAAAAGATTGAAAAATGTATCGCATTAAAACGAATCATTAAATATTTTATTCTTAAATGTGTAAAATTTAATAACGACCCATATTTTCATAGCTCTTAATACCACATAAAATAGGGAAGAGAGACGAATGTTAAAATCAGCAGCTTTTTGGCTTAGGGTATAATTAGAAAATAAATTTTCATAAATCCGTGTGTTTGTTCTGGGGCAACACAACCCCCTCTCCCCAGGGGGAAAGACAGCTCGACATATTCAGAGATAGTTTTCCTAAGAATTAATTTAAATATGTGAGCAACAAACAAAGAGCATAGCCAATTAGAAGCTGCAGCAGATCGAAAGAACAGACAGGCTGACATGTTTTCAAAGAGTGGCGTGCGTTCTTGAGTTTACCGCCTCTCCCATCCCCTGCCCTGCCATCCCCCTTTCAATTGCCGCTGCAACCAGTTGTGGACACATGGTGCCATGTTTAACTGTCACGCCCCCTTTTGTCCGCCTATCATCCGCACAGGTGTAATATTAGCCTGCGGCTTTTGTTTTCATTCCTCTCCGTATAATTATTGCCGTTTGTTGCTGTTTCTCTTATTGGGATTGTTATAGTTGCTGTTGTTGTTGTTGTTTTTTATTAATGTGGTTGTTTTTATCACCAGGATTATTTAAATGTCTGCCGTAAATAAAATGGGCTTAATGACAGGCAGGAAGCCAACAGCGCAATTAAAACGCTATTTTTTATTCAAACAACGCAGCTGCATAAATTTAGCTCTGAGTTTCTTGAGATTTTATTTAACATCCTGTGACAGCTTCCACTTATTTTTTTTTGTTTATACCCTGAACCCTTTGAAAACTGGTAATATGTAACAGGCAGAAGAAAACAATGTCCTCCAACCTCATAAATTATATATGTATATTCTGAATCGCCATCAAAATCAGGGTCACTCTAGACTATGTTCGTCTGTCTCTCAGATAATTACGGGAGCTAGAGACTTCAGATTTGCAAAGTTAATTATTGTATATCTTATACATATAGAGCTTATTAAATTTTATCGATAACTTTCCTCGTGCATATCGATATAAATAAATGTAGAATAGCAATAAATACTACAATTCCAATAATATACTCGTATATTTAATATAGAATGTATACATAGTATATAGAATGTATCATATCATAATTTGGTTAAGAAACACGAAGAAAATCGTATATTAACAAATGTTAACCTTCCAGTACCAAAATCCTCTGAAGTAGAGAAAAACGAAACGGAAATTTTGAAGCGAATAAGCAAAACTTCAGCTTGAAGACGGTCTTGGAGACTGGACGGTTAATTTTTGTCAAAGTACACAGTAGCAATCACAATTATTTTTTATGTACATCAACACACACACACACACATATGCGAACATCTAAGCCGCGTTCGACTTATAACAAGCAAAGTTTTGTGTACAGGATGTTCCCTAGTCGAGCTCTCTCGAATATAGCATTCTTAGTTGTTTTTTTTTTGACCATTATAAATAGTGGAGTTTGCACTGCAGTCAAATATATAATAATAATTGTAATGCGCAATATCTGACATTTGTGAATGCGAATTTTAATCAATCTGTGATTTCAAATGAATGGGTTTTTTTTAATGGGTCACAGTAGAGAAGCTGCCCAAAACAATTACAATAATATGCACATTAGCTGTAAAACGATAGAGCGGTGGTGGTTCCCCTTTTCGAAGGGGAAGTTTTTCCGTTTTCGCAAATTGAGGTTTTTAGACAAACCTAATACTTTTTCCTCGGTTACACTTTTGCAGAGTGTATCTTTCAATCTCTTTTAAGACTTTAATTGCTGTTTGAACTTAATTGTTTACTGCTTATGACTTGTTCAATTAAGTGCTGAGCTAATTGCAAGCATATTTTTTTGTTTCTCTTCGTTTTTCCAGACAATTTCACTGCAACAACGCAACTTTAAGCAGAAAATTGTCGCGCTGCTGAAGCGATTCAAGGCCAGCGAGGAGCTGGAGAATGAGACACACAGTGGCACCGCCGCGCTGCGAGGCGAGCGCGATTTGGATGCACTATTTCAGGAGCTGGAGTCGCTCTCGTGCTGCGAGGGCGATGATTCTGGGCCGGATATGGACAGCATATCGGTTGGATCGACGCCAAAGCCGTCGCTGCGTCCGTTCTTCACCAACTCACGGATCATGCTGCACGACAGTCTCGCCGGCAATGGCAGTGGCGCTCCAGGCAGCGGCATCGGTGGTGGAACGGGTAAGTTCTTGTTGCTGCTGCGGCTACTGCTGCTGCTTTTGTTGCATTTCTCAAGTTGTTTGTTTGACAAGCTACCAAATTGATGATATTCTTGTTGCTTTATGGCGTTATACATTAAATACGTTGACGGCAAGCAATGGCATCCATTTCCGACTCTGATTCCGTTTGTCTTTGGGCCCATAACCATAAACAATAAGAAAATGTTTCAGCCCAAAAGCAGGCTACACTTTTTGGCCAAGTACAAATATTTTTGTCTGTTTGTTTTTTTCGTTTCGTTTTGCCTGTTTTCGGTCAAGGCTGCTCCGTTACATGCGAATTAATGTCGCTTTTATTATACAAACACTCATACACAGCCACAGACACGCACACACACACAAACAGACACTCACAATTGCAAGGTCACGTCTCTGCAGAGAGAGGGAGAGAGAGAGACAGAGAGGGAGAGAGGCAGGATGAGTGACAGATATGCTTGCAGTAAATTCAGTTGACCATTTGTCCAATTGTGCGACAGACACACACAAACATACATTTTATTGTATGTGCGTATTAACACCACAGTAGTCACTTGGAAATTAGAACTCATTCCTTGAATTTGTAAATAATTTTAAAGCTTATATTTCCCATTGAAAAGTGACTTTAAAAACTAAAAGTTCTAATTTCCAAGCGATTTAATTATTATTTTTGATTAATTTATTTTAAATTAAATTTTCATTTGGTTAGCTTTTGAAGTACATCAACTTCTTAGTTGTAACCAATATTATATTATTATTTTTATATACTTTATACTATATACTATATACATACACAAAAAAACAATTACAAAACAAAAACAGAAACAACAAACATTTTGCATGGCTTGAACAAAATTTCTTTTGCAGGAAACTCTGAGCGCCGATCATCGGATAAGAGCGACCAATTGACCAATTCATCTTACAATATTGAAAATAACAAAAACCAAAAATGCATTCATTTAACAAACAATAACAATTCGGCTACAACACCAGGTCTGTGTAAATTACAGCAACCAAAACAAACCAAATCCACACTCAATATTTGCAAATAATTTAGAACACCAGCCCCCTTCATCCACAAACATGCTATAAGATTTTTTTGTATCCCCAAATCCACATACGAAAAAAATAATAAGTAAAGTACACGGGGCACATTTTGGTATTTGTATGTATTGGCTAAATGTTTGACAATCCTTGCCAGCTAAATTTATGGACAGTCGTCACCATATCTAATGTGCACTGTAATTGCAGTATAACAGCTAAAGTTCAATTATACAATATTTACCGATTCGATTTGTTTATTTTTAAATTTCTAAGCCTTGGCCTGCCTCACAAACACGCACGCCCCATACGTATATAAATACACACACACACACACACACATACAGATAGACAAATTCAACTTAACTCAACTCACACACGCACACGAGCACACACGAGTTTATCGTTGCACACGCGATTGCAGAGCTTTCTTTGCAGTGTGACCATACCGCTGTTATTGCATGGGTTAGCAGCGCTGTTAACTCCTTGTGACGTCATGCGAATACGAATTGGGCGAGCTAATTGAACTTTGAATTCAGCTAAATACGCTTTTATAAAAGAATAGAAAAACAATTCAAAAAGAAAAAAGAAGAAAAAAAAGAAAAAGAACCAAGCATGTTACCCTCTCGCGCTTTTAGTCTTAATAATCCAACACAAAAAACCCGTCTTATGTAGTTATTTCGAGCTACGTATTTTATCAATTAATAAACCCTTAACCCAAAACCCCAAAACACACCCTTAATGACAGCGTCAATATACTTATACACGTCTACTTTTCTTGATCAATTTTCCTTGCATGTTGTGCTGTACTTCCCCTTTCTATTTTTTGATTAATGCGACATTCATTGCCAAGAATATTCAAGTGAAGCACGCCAAACACATAAAAATAGGGTGATTGACGACAATACACCATATGTATAATCACATACATATATATTACATACATATAACGTACTTCTTCCTATAATTAGGCTGTAAAAAGTTTTAACCCTATTCACGAACGTGGCATTTATTATTTAATTACAATTAAATGTCGTCACATACGCACCTAAAGCACCTTGGAATGAACTCTATTTGGCGCAGGACACTTTATTTCGAGTTAGAGAGGAGAGGGGGTGGAGACAGTTTGTTGAGCTTGCGGTTTCCTAAACTCGTTTAGTTTCCGCCTGCATGTCCTTTATATAGTCTAATTCCTTTTGATCATGAACGATTTTTAGTGCACCCTTCACCAAAACTCAGATTATCCTTGTAAATCCGTCCCTAGATCCCAATTTGGGTACACACAGCGCCACTCATCCAGCCCCCTTGTTGTTCTATATTCCATTCACAGATCGCACTGGCAATGATAGTTCTGGTAATGAGGATGGCTCCGATCCGCAGAATAGTCCGCCACGGGACAAGGACTATCTGCGCCAGCAACAATATCAACAGTTGACACCAGTTAGCTCCGTCACCGGCAACATGAGCAGCACCGGGATTACTCCCTCGCAGGCACCTACCGAGAAGCGTTCACGCCTCTTTCGCACCTCGAGCAATACGCCGGCGATGGGCACCGCTAGCGCCGGCAGCGGAGTCGGCGGCAACTTGGCGAACAACAGCAATGCGGTGGGCAAGAGGAAGCACACGCTGAGCCTGAGCAATGAGCCGCGTTCGGCCCTGGAGGCGTGCCTATCGCCTACAAATGTGGAGCCGCGCAAGTTGCTGCTTGATCAGCTAAGCCGCGTGTTCGCCGGCGACGACAATGTCATACCCGAGGTACTGACCATCATAAGTCCGCCAGAAGCGTTGGGCGGCAGCACACTGCTGGCCAAGCTCGTCAACCTGTTTGCCAACTCCTTCAAGCCGGCCTTTGTGCCACAAAACACGGCCGAGGTGAAGGCTGTGCTGCAGGCGCTCATGGCTAAGATACAGAAGTAGTGAGTATAGAAGTAACAAATTATCAGAATCCTTGGCTTCAATCTAATTATCCTTCATTTGCATCCCTCAGTTGCAATTCGAATGCCAAGCCGCCGCACACGGTCAAGGTGCTCCTCATTGGCGGCGACTGGCTGCAGGGCGCAACGTTGCGACATTATGTGGAGCTATTGGGAGTTCGCCCACCCGACTGGTTGAATCATTTGCGCTTCTATTTGGTGCCTATTGGCGGTGGCAGCAGCAACGGCAGCGTGGCACGTCATCTGAGCCAAATGGATCAGGCCTATGCCGCCATGTTCGGCTCAGAGAACTGGTCGCAGCTATGCGAACGCTCGGCAGCCACAGCGGCAGCAGTTAGCGCTGTGACCACTGTGAATGCCACAGCTCTAACGGCCAATCTGGCCGATTCGGCATCTGTGTCCAAGTCAGATATTGCGGAGTTGGTGCAGCGTATTCAGCGCTATCTGCATGCGGCCGGTCCCTGCACACAGATACCCATTGCCGAGGCGATGGTCAACTATAAGGATGAGGACTCATGCCAGATTTTTGTGCCGTTTGTCAGCGTAAGTGCTGCGCCCCTGAGTATCACAAAAAACAACCTTCATAATTACATTTTCCTTCTCTTTGGTAGGATGTGCGCATTGGATATTTGGATGGTGCACAGGCCTCACTGGATCTGGAGGAGAACAACGCCTCCAATGTGACTGGCAGCTCAGGCAGCGGTGGCTCAGCAAATGCTTCCAGCCAGCCCATACCCATTGGCAGCCAGAGCACACCCAATGTATATGGCATCGTGTCAGGTTCGCCGCCACAGCAGCAACAGCAAATGGGCCTGGGACAGGTTCAGAACATGGGACGCATATCACCGCCGTTACAGACGCCACCTTCGTCGGGCTCATCGCATCGCGAGCGTGGCGCCAGTGATGCCCTCAATACGCCCTCAACTATGCAGGCGCAGGCGTTCAGTGGAGCGCTGTCTGCTGCTGAGGCTGTCGAACTGCAGGTGGACTACTGGCCGCTGGTGCGGCCCGGTGAGTCGCATCTCAAGGAGTCAAAGGGCGGTACGTCGCGCGGCGGCGACTCTGGCGGCGGCAAGAATAGCATTAAAAGTACGTTTAGGAATCTGCAGGTGTGGCGCCTGCCACAGCATGCACAGCAAATGGGTGATATGTCCAATGGACTGACTGTTAGCTTCGCCACCAAGGAGAAGAAGCAAAAGCAAAGTAAGTGGCATATTAAATACATAATACCTAACACCAGTGCTATAGTAAATATTCCACTTGCAGTTATGCGCTTGGGCAAGAAGAAGGACAAGGAGCGTGATCTCGAAAAAGAGCAGTGTGTTGAGGGTGTGGCACGTCTCATTTGCTCACCCAAACAGTCGCATCCAGTGCCACTACGTGGTTAGTTTAGGGCACATCATGCCGATTTATCAAATCCCTAATGCTATTTTTCTATTATGTATTCACAACAGTTTATATCGATGGCACCGAGTGGACTGGCGTCAAATTCTTCCAGCTATCGTCGCAGTGGCAAACGCATGTGAAGAACTTTCCCATTGCGCTCATTGGCTGCACGCCCATGTCGTGTGCTGAATTAACCTAGTCATTCAATATATATGTTCGTTCAATGCCCATTCTCATTTAAACTCGCACGCGCAGACCCATTGAGTATCCAAGGGAGGCGCGTAGACATGCGCGTCAACTCATTATTATGAGCTAAGAAGAATGATAATTTATTTTATAATTAATAATTGTAAATTTTTAGTTAATAAAACGTATAGCTTGTAATTTTCATTTAAGTCTTCAAACGCGAATTGTGAATTAATCAAAGATTTTCGAGCCACAAGCATCACACACACGCTCACAATAAGTAATAGTTATATAATTGACATAAATATTGAAATTAAAGAAACAAAACAAAATACCGAACGTTTAACACTTGTTCAAAATAACGCGTATCAAATATCCTGTACAAGAATACTATGTAGTTACAGTTTCAAAAGTTTATTGTGAACAATTTTCGTAAATTCAGTTTGTTAACCGTTGCCACTAACTGTTGCCAAATGGTTTCCAAGCGGTTACAAACTGTTAAATTAGCAAGTTGATACTTTATTTAATCGTTTATCACGCCTGGCTGTTGGGAGCACTGCCAGCATGTTTCGGATGACCCAGATGATCTCAACCACTGCTCCCACAATGGCGACAATTGCGACAACTGCGACGATGGCGTGATGTACTCTGGCATTATATACTAAACTATCGTATCTATACTATATATATTCTAACTACAACTGCTTAGCGAATGTGAATGCATATTTAACCAACCCGTCGTCTATATACTACCTAAATTCAGACATTATCTATGTGCAACTAAATATACATATATATATATACAATATACTTATACATATATAAATACATACCTATATCTAATCTACATGTAATTGACATATGTATGTACGTACTACTCTAATTGTTGTGATTTTTGAAATTTCATAGTGTGAACAGCCGATGCAGAGATTGTATAAGTAAGGTACACACATTTACATAAAGTGAATTATGAAAAGAAAGAGATTGTAGTTTGAATTTAACGAATGTAACGAAGCAGTTTCAAGCAATATACAAGTTGGGTGCAAAGCTTTTCCCCATTTAGAAATGAAAGAGCGTTGAGAACGAGTGTGAACTAAAATATTATAAGGCGTGTAGTGTATAATTGTATTATTAAATATATAACATTTAAAGACAAAATAATCGTGTTATACATTTGAATATTGCACAAATTACAGCATCATCGCACATTAATAATATGATATGGCAGTCCGGTGACTATAATAGAGCGTTCCTTGAGACCAAGAGCACCGTCTATCCCACCGGGTGGCAACAGAAAGGTGCAGCTTGGATAGCCCTTGGGCTGTGCAAACTCCATCAGATTGGCATTGCTCGCGCTGAGGGCCAGAAGCGACCATACAGCCAGGTTACGTGTCTTGCCATGTCTCGCCAGAACGTAGAACTGTCAATTGTGGCAATTAGACTACGGACTTTTGGATTAAACACATGCTCTGCACTCACCTCGTCCTGATCATCGACCAGATAACCCACAATGAGCGCCCAATGAGCACGATGGCCGGACTTCTGGCAGGGTGCATGATTGACGTCGGCATCGTAACTGTTTGTTTGGAATATGCATCGAATTTAAGGTCAACCAAATTTGAGGCAAAAGCTACAATGGACTCATAAATTTATCGCACTTTATTTATAAAAATTCTCATGCAAGTTGTTTAATTTACAAAAGCTGAAGTTGAGCACTTTCTGACCGGTCTCTTTTAGCCCACCCTCATGGGTGGCGAAACCAGTATAACGCCATCTCCTCGCACAAAGAGCATGGGTATTGTGCGCTTTGTCGTCTTGTACACCTCCTCGTAAGTTTCCTCATCAATTTCGACGGTGGTTTGTGTTTCTTCGGCATCGCCCAGGACCATATTTAAATGCTGATCGAAGGCGTGTAATCGGCCCCTCAATTCCCGCTCATTTCGCATTTTTACGTACACCTTTTCGTCCAAGCTCAGGCGAATTAGGTCGAGGGGCTCCTTTACCGGCAATATTACCTGGCTAAGCTGCAATTACGAAGATGAGCATGATGCTAGCATATTTTAGAGTTATGAATACCTGTTCCTCCTCAGTTGCCATAATATTGTTACTCAGAAATTGTAATTGGTTTACAATAAATTATTGAATGCTAAATCTTACTGTTTGCTTTTCAGATTTTTTGCACTAAATAACACCAAAAATTAATCGTTGATTGGTCGCACTACACGCGGCAACAGTGCTGCCCATCAAAGCGACACATAAAAATATCGAGTTCAAATATTTTGAGTGCTCAGCTTATTTCAAATATATTGTTTAAAAAGGATACGGAACAAATAAACAGGCGCCAGCACATAACAGCTCTTTGATTTTGACACAATTTAGAATGCCTTCGTGAAATTGGCAAGCACCCGTACCGTTTAAATGCTTTAGTGTCAACTCGTATAAATATTGAGCACTGAACATTTCACCATTTATGGAATATTTTTGTGCAACGGCATCTGCAAGCAATTCCGTCGGTGTCGGCAGTCCTTTGAGCAACATGCTTAAAGCTGTTAGGCCACAAGTGGGTCCCACCTATCAAAAAAAAAAAAAATTAATCATTACGATAAGCACATATTTAATTAAGCTAACTTGTAAAAGACTAGAGATGTCATAATATTGGCAGCTCTTGGGCTCTGCATGTTGGCATACGCGACTGAGGAAGCAGCCCTTCTGAACGTCCGGATGCCTCGATGCCCAACTGCATTCATCATTGGGTATTTGCACTATGGGAACAACAATCTCATCTTTTTTTAAAGTACTTCTACAGTTTTTTATGCTAGTTGGAGGCGGCGGTGGAAGTGGCACAGTTTGCGACATTGCGATATGTATTTCGACTCGAAATCAGAAAACTAAATAGAAAACAATAGTAAAACAGCTGATTTTTAGTGATTGGCTGCACTTTTTCGCCAAAATCCTGCCAACCTGCTTAAATAGTTAGAGCTGTTGTATGAAAAGATTTACAATATACAGATATCTTTACCAGTCAATATTATTTATCCGTATGAGCTTTATTGATATATGTGTATACAATTGAATTCTTTAAGAAATGTGGACATTATATATCACCATATCTTTGGAAGCTGGTGTTTACTGTAGCAAGTACACGAACCAGTAGTACACGTGGTTTCATACTTGGCTATATTTTTGCGACACATCTTTTTAGCTAATTAAGAATCTGTAATTTTGACTTATACTTTTAAAACTTAAGTTGTCTCTAAATAATCGGTTACCTTAAGTACATACATATATATAAGTATATGTTCGATTAAGTGCTTAAGCTATAATTTGAAGTTCCTTATCTAGTTATTTGAAATCCATCTGTAAAATATTTAAAGTAAATAAAACAATTAAATGGTTTGATATGTTGCAAAATCGTTAAGAAAAATCAAAAGTTTTGTAAAAATTTAGAAGCTAAAACGCATTTTAAATATGACAAAAAAAAGAATTTTTATTATGGTTTTAAACACATTTACTACGGGTTAATACAAATTTAGGACAGCATAAGCGGAATGTTGAAGTGTGAATTGCCTATATTAAAATAAATATATTAATTTTTTATATGCGGCAGGTCATTTGCAGGTGCACTTTCCTTTAGTCGGGCTTTCTTTGATCTGTCTCCTGCAGAGCTCTTCCTGCTATCGCACAAAAAGCTTGTTCCACATTACTGCCATCATTGGCTGAGGTCTCTTGGTAGGGTATGTTATTGTTCAACTGACCACTGATCGGTATAATTTTTTTGTATCTGTATAAAAATCGATCAATTATATAAATGTGATAATTTTATAAATGCAGATTTACACACTTTACGTTCAACTATGTCCGCCTTATGGATATGGATCCTGACGAACAATACATGCGTAGTGATGATGCACATTTGGTCTTATATATTTATACGCACAAGGGCGAGTATTGGGCTAGAGAATGTTCATCGTTCATACACAAAGTGAAGCAAACTATTTTCCCGCTAATAAAATTGCATTTTACTATGCAAATATACATCACGATTAACTGCCCATATTTGTTAAAAATAAATATGTTAATTTAAAAACGCACCTGGGGTTGTTATTAATTTGTTTGTTACGTTTCAGTATGCAGCAGCAACTAATACCCACTTCAAATACTCATCAGAGCATGTTAAGAGCTCACTTTCGAAAGCACAACTTTTTCTTATACAAATGTATATATATATATATATATTAGTAAATAAAAGCTTTGTGGTATATGGCTAAGAATATACAAATGCGTTGTTTTTATTAATACACACATTTGTATATTTCATTTTCCCAGAGTGCGTCAGTAAGAAGCAGAACAGAAATGAATCCCAAATTGATCGCAGTCAAGTTGCTGTTACAAAATATAGAACATTTTTAGTTTAAACTATATAAGTTGAGTCTGTTTCGAAAGTTGTAGATTTTGCATTGTTTATTATACAAATTAAACCAAAGCTTGTAAATGTCAAAATAAAAGTATGTGAAAATTACATTTTATAAATTATACACAAACGATGTGTGTATGTATTACCAAAAGGGATCAATTGTTAATAATTGTCTACGACTAACAAAACAAATTATTCAAATTAGGGCTCAAATTGATTAAAAGATATATCCGTTTAAGGTGGAAACTGATCTGAGCCGATAAAGTGCCAATCTCGTTAAATATGGATGAGTATATATAAAATTAATTACAATAAAAATGTATATTTTTGTTTTATTAAATTTACAATCACAAGAATTTGTTGGTTTTCTTTTCTTTTTCCTTATTTTTTTGCGTAGATAATTTGTTGCTGTGGATTCTGATGTTGTTGCAACGGCTGTGTCTGTTGCGTGCAATAATTTTACTAATGGCAAAAATATTTCTAGGAGGGCATGCACAATATTTTGAAATATGTGTAAACAGACCATAAATAGTAATAACGGGAAACGTTTACGTTACAAATCTGCTGAAAGTTTATCCGAATTTAGCATCCTATCATTATACCTATGCTGTGGCTGAAATTGTTTTACTTAAACTTATAACCTTGTTGTCGTTCATCGTGTTTGCTTTTTTACTCATATGCTGTAATGTATTTTATTTATAATATAGATTGTGTAATTATGCACTTTGCGTTGTATTCTGTTTTGCTGCAGCTGTTTTGCCTGTAATATTTGAACTACATTAGCATTGACAATTGTCAGCGTTGCCTGGACGATTATTTTCAGAGTTCAAGCGTATTTGATCGGGAAAATCGTTGATAAGTTCAGCCTGCAAGCATACACAAAATCAAGATATGATATAAGTATTCAGTGTGCAAGTATGTGTGAAATAACTAGTACCTCCGTCTCTTGTTCCAGCGCATTCTTTGCAATGGTTTGAAACGCCATCTCAACGTTGATGCCCTCCTTTGCTGACGTCTCATAGTAGGGTATATCGTTTTTGGATTGGCACCATTGCTGTGCTCGACGCGTCGATACCTGCAATAATAAAGTGTTAATGTTGCTGTTGAAACTCGTGTTGTTTTGCTACCTACTTGACGATTATCCAAATCTACTTTATTGCCCAGGACGACGAAGGGAAAATGCTCGGGATCCCGTGGACTGGCTTGAATTAAGAACTCATCTCGCCACGAATCAAGATTCTTGAATGAGTTTGGTGCCGTCACATCGTAGACAAGCACACAGCAATCAGCGCCACGATAGAAGGCGACACCGAGTGATTGGAAGCGCTCCTGACCAGCCGTGTCCCAAATCTAGACGACAATCAAAAAGATTAGAAAAGCATTTCCAGTGCAGTTATATATTTGCTCACCTGCATTGTGACGACGCGATCGTTGACAACAACTTCTTTTGTGCAGAAGTCCGCCCCGATCGTTGCTTTGTACTGATTGGAGAAGCGTTTGTTTACATATTGATTCATAAGTGATGTTTTGCCAACGCTGCTATCACCGAGAATGATGACTTTCAGCAAAGATTTCTTTCTAGTTGCCATATCGATATATATATATGTATATAATTTTTCCTATTGGCTGTTTTAGGTGTTCTAGCTGCCTTAAGCTGGTTGTTGGTGTTGCTGTTGCTGCATGGAATAGACAAAAACATATCGACTTTTAGCTATAAATACATTTGCACTACTAACACGGATTAGACATAATTTAATTACACTCTTATCTTATACGCCTCGGATTGCCAGTAGTGCACAGCAACACAGACGCTTGCCAATGGATTTTATTATTTTTAACATGGTTGAGTGAATGATAAATTCAGATTTAACATTATGAGCCACATGACTCATGACTCAAATGAACAATGACAATGACTGAACGTTGAACGGAAGAAGCGGGGGGAGGAACGGGAGCCCGCAGCGAAGCGATAATAAAATTAATGATAGTCACCAGCAGCATTTGTAGCGGAGAAAGTGACGATAACAAACAACAGCAGATTTGTAGATGTACATTTACGACAAACAAGGAAAATCGTTCAGGAAGTTATGAAGATTTGAGAAAAATCACTTTGACTTTATTCAAACGAAAGGAAAACGCCCATATTTAGCCAGCGAGGGTAATCCGTTTTAAATTAACAATAATGTAAACACAACAGCACATAAAATTATGCGAGAGCAGCAAATTTTGCAACCTTCGGAGCACATAAATGACTTGTTTTTGCACACCACTACAATAACACGCATCAGTAGTATGGACACATGCACACATGCATGCATACATACATACATATGTATGTTTTTCAGTGTCTTGAGCTCCACTGGCTTTTTCCATACTGTTTTTACTGCTGCGTAACACAATTTTTCACCAAGTCTTTGTTCCGATTCACGTCATTTTATTTCTCCGCATTAGACGACAAACATTTTTCCCAAGACTTACATTTTTGACGAATAGTATTTGTGGCTCAAACGCACTTTATTTCTACTTAACTACGCAGTTAATTCTTTTTGTTTTCTACAAATTTTGGGCAATATCAACTAATTAATCGATATTAAATAAGGTGGACAATCGCTAATCGATAAGTCACTTCCACTAGCCAACATTTCACTCCACACTTAACGATGTGCTCCACATTTAACACAATTCTGCATTTAACAGAATTATTCCACATTTGACAGGTCCATTCTCTGAATTCATTTTGAAATAGGAACAGGAAAACAGAAAATTTGTTGAAATGAGTGCCTAAATCATTTGCTAGATTTGTTGTTTACTTAAGAAATAGCAACACATAAGGAACATTGAATATTATTCTTAAAATACGAATTCGAATATACGTCGAATCAAAGATTGATTGTATATTTATATATACAATAGATAGAGGTAATTGCGTTTAATTCCTTACAGTATTTATTTAAATATTAAGTTCAATGAATATGGAATGCTTGCACTGAAAGAAGAAATTATATTGTTTGAGTTTAGAAATATGAAACTTGTTGAATTTGAGTATGTATCGATAGGCACTTATCGGCCATCACCGCATCCTGCTACCAGTGGAACCGGTTCGCATGGCTGTTTTTAAGGTGGCTGCGCTTACCACATACGGAAAAGTAAAACGAATTTGTGGAAAGTCGCAATTTTTGGCGGGCAATCGTTATCTTTCTTGGTCAACCACAATGTAAGCGAAAGTTATAAAGTTATGCTGATGACTACACTTACTAATCTCATCACATTATTCAAAATGCAGTCAATCTGCTTGCTGAAAAGAATAATGCCAATTAAAATTAATATTAAGAAATATTCTAAGAAATCTTCATGCTGTTTTTCTTCGATGCGATAAGAAAATCTACTTATTTAAATACTTTGTTGTTCGTTCGAGCTTCGTTCAACTTGTTGAGATGCGCATGAATGTAAGGTATAATTCCTAGATCCACTAAGATTGAAGGTTTCCGTTAATATCATATTACTTTACTCCCTGTTCAACAGGAATTACATTCAATATTATGCTTTCCGATCTTTAATTATCATAAAATGATCTAAAACGAATTTATATAATTTACTTGGTAAGACTCACAAGTATAAGTATTTATGAGTCGACTCTTATTTGTTTATGGATGATATAAAAAAAGTTACTAAGAAATCACAATTAAGAATGCCTTCTAATATTTTAAATTTATAAGAGAATATAAATATAATAACATAAATAAGGAAATATTTAATATGACTCAAATTTTGAGAATAAGCCTCAAATGAAAGAAAACACAGTATTTGATTTTAAACATTTAAAGCTATTATTTCATCAGTTTAATACATACACCATTAAATATACATATGAGAGTATGTATACGTATTTATATTCACATAATGTTGATTCTAGACATGTATATAAGTACATTCAATATATGTATGTAGATGTAACATTTTACAACAGTTTTATTGATAGACAGCTCTGGATTTTGTTTGGTTGGTTTTCATAGATTGGTAAGTTAACATTTTCAATCTTTTGTTTTTTTTTTTAAATAGAGTTTGGCCAAATTCAACAATTAATAGATTGTTGTATAGTAATTTAATTTTGATTCCATATTTTAATTTGTTTAACAATTTTTAGAAATAACTTGCGAGTTGCAATATGTATATATGTATATTTTATGTATGTATATACTTAACATTAAATAAATAAATACTTATCCATATGTATGTTCATATACATAATTATATATATATATATATATTTACCAATTGAATGTAAAATATTTTTTTGATATATATGTGTATATATATATATTTCAAATTCTATTTCGATTTTATCTGATTTGTATTTTTTTGGTCCGATTGCCCAGATTATTAAAGAACATTGAAGGATTGGTTCGTTTTTGTTTGTTTGAATATTTTTAAACATTTTTTCATTTCCAGTGGTAAATGTCAACTTTAGTTTTGAGATAAATGTATTTTAGTTAGGGATTTTTTAAGTTTGTGTTTAACAGATGTCCAATTTAAAGAACAGTTTGAATTAAAGTTATTGTTAGGGTAAGGGTTTTTATTTGTTGCCCAACAAATTGTTATATGTATATATATATATAAATATATCTATATATATACACATTTCGATTAAGCTTGTTTTCTTTAAGTGAAGTTAATTTAGATTATTTTCATTATTTATATGTTTATTTTAAACTATTAGTCCTTCTGTATAAACTCGCTCTTTTTTAAATATTAATATAACAAATAATGTTCTCAAAAATTAAATTTAATACAGATTACAAAGCTTAAAAATTGTTAATGTAGAAAAAGGAACACAGGTTCTTATCAAAAGGGATATGAAAAGTTCGTGATTATTTAGACATATACCATTTAATTGATTACTGCACTCGCTTTCAAAATGCCAACGGCTCAATTCAAAATGCTTTTTAATTATTCAGAAAATAATCAAAGCAAATCCTTTAAGCTTCCTAGGGAGTTTGAAGATGATTTCGACTGCTCGGCTAGTTTCGCACACAAATGCATATTTTATTATACGCCATTTAGCTTGCGAGTTGAATTTTTATGTTTATATGTATTTTAAATGCGCAATCGATATGCGGAGAGGCAAGTGGCAAGTGGCAAGCACACAGCAAAAGCATGCAACATGGCCTGTTTATGGAGGGCGTGGCAAGGGCAGAAAAACACAAAACACAGAAGAACCTTCATGAAATTGCTGCCGTTTGATATGTGACAGTGTATGTGTGTGTGGAAGTGTGGTTGTGTTTGATTAGGTGTAGCTGTGTGCATGTACGGCAATAAAAACTGAGCACAATCCAGAAAAAAGGAAAAGCAAAGAACGCGACAGATGCTGCTTAAGCAGCGTGGGTCGTTTCATACTTTGTGTCCATCTGAGCTCAAGATGGCAAGTGTCTTCAAATATTTTTTTTTGACAAATTAGTACACTTCAAAAAAAAATCTACACAAATGGAAAATGGCTCTGGATATTTGAAAATTTGTCTAGTTTTTAGAAATAGCTTCTACTCACATAAATAAAAAGAAGTGCAAATTAGACAAGAAAGACTTTTTAGAAGACGATATTTTCTAAGTGTATTAACAATCATATTTGTGAGTGGATTTTTAGTTATAGAACATGGAATATGGCCAATTATAGCGGATCACTTAAGTCAAAGAAGGGAACAAGTTCAATGTGATGATACGACCAGTGCAGGCTTTAGTGTTGTTAATAGTCGCTGGTCCACAAAACGCATCCACAATCTCAGGAAGCACGTAGCAAGTATTTCGGGCAATCTTGGTATGAGAAGAAGTCCGTTTGAGATAGTGCTTGGAGGCAAAACCATTAGTGACCTCAACAAGTGTATATATTTATTATGTAAATTCCCATCTTATGCTTGATGAAATTAGCTGAACTGGATATACTTGGGATAAAAATAAATTAATGTGTCTTTGAGCCAACATTAAACGTACTCGTTGAGAGAAGTATCTGAACAGACAGCTATAATAATTTTTATGATCCAAAAGCAGACAACTAAAACTAAACACTCTTTCTTTCATTGTGTGAGCTGTAGTTATAACAATAGCAATAAAGCAATCGCATATTTGATTTGCTATTTTGCTCTTAATTGCTGGCGATAAAATGTAGTCTGCTATTAGAAACAAAGACAAATCAAAGCAATTTTATCCAACTGCACGGAAGCCAAATTGATAAGGTGTGAAGACATTTGATTTGAATTGATACGAATCTGAGCTGAAACTAAAAAGATTTAATATACTCAGCTAACTGAGTTGATCATCTCCAAATAGCAGACATAGTTGCAGGCAAGCAAGTGTAAATCACAGTCCAAAAGAGAAACTTCCTTTCAAGCATAAAGAAATGTCTTCCTTATGAGTGTTAATTCGCCTGAAACATATTTCGACTGCTTCCGCCTGGCTGGGTCTGTACTTAATGCTCTGCCCTCTTACATGTACATGCCTGTGTATTAGTGGGCTGTACGTGGGAACGCAATAAAATCTAATTTTGTGTACACACACACAGAGAGAGACACACACACACACTCACAGAAAAGTTGTTAAACATTATGCCACAGCTGCGAGAGGAGCGCACCAAAAACAAAAAGGAAAAAAACATTGCCTAGTTTGGGGCTGAAACAAGAACTGAAAATGTGGCCGGAAGTGGTGTCGGCTTTGGACCCGAAGCCGCCGCACACGCCACAACCAGGGAACAGTTAAGGCAGGTAGATTAGGCGGCAAAGCCGTAGATAAAAGGCGCCAGCAACCGAACATGCAATAAACATGTGCGCAAAAAAAAGAAGAACAACAAAAAATGAAGCAAGAGGCAATTGCCCCAAGAGGCAGCTGCCACGCTGCTAGCTGCCCCTGCTGCTGTCTGCCGCCTTTGACGCTTACCGCTTTGTACTGTACATATATACATATATATGTATGTATGTATATATATCGTATTTTTATACGATGAGTATTTCATGTTGTGGTCCTTGGTTTTGCGGGCGATGCTTTAATTAGTTTTTCTTGTTGGCTGTTTGGTTGTTTTTCATTTTGTTTCCTTCTTTTTTTTTTGTTATTTTGGCCAATTAAATTTTAATTTGCCACTGGCAGCTGTCGGAACTTCGGCTTGTATTGCAGTGTATTCAAAACTGACCTTTAGACGCCACTTGACCTGCTTGAGCCAGACAAGCGTCAAGGCATTAAGTATACGCCACCATAAATTTCAACAGCCAAGGACATTAAGCCGGCCCCATTGTTGTTACTGCTGTTAGTGTTGCTGTTGTTTTTGTTGTTGTTGATGTTGTTGTTGTTGTTGCTATTGCTATGCATGGCTTGTAAATCAATTGTCGCAATGCCTGCAACTGACAGCCGCCAGGGCCAGCTCGCAAATTGCAATTTCATGAAGAACCAGCACAATGTGTGTGTGGGTGTGAATGTGTGTGTAGCTGTGTGTGTGTGTGTGTGTGTGTGTGTGTGGGTGCTTGCATGCGTCCAATTAGTGGGTGGGTGCACACGCAAAGCCTTGGCGCCACCAGTCATACAGGAGTACAGGCAAGAGCATAAACTAAAGTGATTATTGATGATCTCAGATTTGGTCTCCTGCACCACCGTGCGTCTACTTGATAATGCTACATAAACGTGGAGCCAGCGAACGGTAATAATGAATAAAGAAGAAGAACGAACTAGTAACTTCGACGCGCCGAAGAATGCATACCCTTGAAATTGGCAAGAGCCACAATTATACTAGGAACTAGGTAAATTTCGATAAGAAAGCAAATAATATTTGTGGTAAGTCAACTTGTTTTTCTTTATAGTAAAGTAATGCAATCCAATGAAATGCCAACAGCAAACAGTTTGATATAGTAAAGACAGACAGACAGAGAGACAGACAAGGGAATATATATATATTCCATCGGCGCTTTACAAACTTAATGGCATAATTCGAATGCCCGCTGCAAGGATATATGTAAACAAAAAGACAAAGAACAATATGAATAAAATGGGTGACATCATTTTTCAAAAGAGCCAACAATGAGAGTGAATAAACCAAATATACATTAACAACAAACAAAATATAAAAATACAACAACGACAAGAAGAAAGCATGCTTTCAACCAAACATCATCATCAATTATGGTGCGGCGTCCAACTGGGGCGTGACCATAAATAGATACGATATTAACCATAAATAGTATAGAGATAACTACAACTTATAGGTAAGAAATATGCAAATGGACTTGGCGCTATAACCTGCTCCTCAATATTTGCGGCCAAAGCTTGGCGTGCCCGGATTGAGGACGCGACAATAATGCGAACTGGTCACGCAATAGTCCGTTGCGGCGGCGGTCTCCTCGTTGCCAGTCGTCGCTGCCAGTTGACGGTATTGTTGCTGTTGTTGCTGCTGCTGCTGCTGCTGTTGTTGTAGCTGCTGCTGTTGCTGCAGTTGCTGCTGCTGCTGCTGGCGGCGGCGCATCGACATTGGTCATTGGCGCTGCTCGGCGCTGATGATGAAGTCGCTATGCTTTTGCACCTGCAAAGAGCAACAAAAGCAGTCAGTTGGATTTTGTGGAAATAACCACAACCACAAATACGCATACGAATACGAATACGAATACTAACCACATCAGCGACAATGGGCTCCTCTATCTCCAGGCCCTGCAGCGCCTTATCGCGACTCAAATGCAGCTCATAGGAATCTGTTGGCGTTACAAACACAACGCGATGCTTGCGTGTCTGCAGCACGTTGGCAATAACCAGCTAACGTGCAAAAAACAACAAAAACAAAATGGATGGGCGTCACAGGGAGACAAAGAGTGAGAGAGAGAGAGAGAGAGAGAGAGAGAGAGAGACGGGGGAGGGTTGGGTAGTTGGATGTGGCTTTGATTGGTGGCGCACTTACCTTATGCTTGTATTTGTTGAGGCTGTCGCGTGCCTTGACAATCAATAGATTCTCGTCCGTTTCGAGCTTAAAGGATACCACAAAGGCGTGCGGCACCCACAGACTGGCGAGTGGTGCCAGCATTTTTGGCACCAATTGTAGTGAAATCGTTGGTGCCCCATCTCCCGATTGCATTTTGTGTGTTGGCTGCAAAAACAGACAAACGAGACAGTCGTTTCCAGTTACTGGTTTGGCATATTAATTAAAAGACGAGTCAACGATGCGTATGAGCGCAACGCGATGACATTGCAGCCCTCTGCCACCCATCCTAACTGACTCACTAATCCACAGTGCTCATGTGTCCTTGCAGCAAAGCGACGCAGCGAAAGGCCAGGGTTGCCGCCCGCATTGCCACATGCCACATGCCGTATACCACATACAGGCAAATGTATTTCAACTAATTGAAAGCATAACTCAGTGGTAATGAGCGGACAGAGTCGCCGCCTCGTTGCACACACACAGAGCTGCCAGCCTTAAATTAAAGCTGCCTTTAAGCATTACACATACGACGCGTGGTCTGCTCGGTTTTTGTCCCATGCTGGCTACTTGTTGAACATTATATACGCCCCCCCCCAACAATGATTAGTTGCCCCGCCCACTCTCCACACTCTGTAAACTGCTGACCAGTTTCATTTATTCCACACACAATGCGAGTGTGGCCAACTGGCAGGCAGAAGGACAAGTCTAAGTAGCCCAGGACATTGTAAGGGCTCTGAAATAAATTGGAATGAAAAATCTAGCTGCAGGCATTAAGCTGACAACGAAGACGAACCAAAGCGACGACATTGACAATTGCGCAACGTCGCAGTCGCAGTCGAAGTCAGAGTCGACGTCGACATCGACGTCACCATTGACGCTTCTGCTAATTTGAACTTTAAGCTTGCGAGGCAATAAGTTTCAATGCCCTAGACTCATACAAGTGTTCTAAAGGGTTTGCCAAGTTCTACAATTTAATGTGAGTATAAGATAAATACCAAGTATAAGACACAGACTACTACTTAGATAAGTATTAACAGCCTTGTCGGACTGTTTAACTGTCAGTCCCTTACACATTCTGTCTACTTGCATTACCATTTAACTGTTCTCAAAGTTTCGTAGCTACGCAATGTTATCTGACTGTTTAACAGTTAACTGTCAGTCCCTTACACATTCTGTTTATGCAATGCATAATACCATTTAACTGTTCTCAAAGTTTCGTAGCTAAGCAATGTTATCTGAGATATCATTTAATGGTGCATGCCGCAGGGCGAAGGGAGAAATAACGATATCATTGTTTGACTAAAATATTTATCCATTTTTTAAATATTGTAGCATGGGTATGAAGATTAGTTAAGAATTTTCCCGACAGCAAAATAAAAAAACAAAATGTTCGTAATTATCTATGCAGACTGCTCGTAAAAAAATGTATATTTATATTACGTACTTAAAAGTAAATATAGAATTTTGTATGAAAAATATAGGGTATCTAATCGGTGATCGCATAGTTTGTTCTAGTTAAGCATTCTCGACTAGACCAATTTTACTTGTTGTGCTTGCTTTTAAGAACTGCCAACAGCTGTTGACATTGAATTCAGTTACATATTCTCCCTCCCCCTCTCTCTCTCTCTATTTCTCCGTCTGTCTCTCTCTCTCTCCCTCTCGCATTTGCAGGCTCATTCACTCTCTGTGTCATTGTACCCGCTAACTATGTCTATGCGTGTGTGTGTGAGTGCGTCTGTGTAACTGTATAGGTCGCTGTCTCATTGTGTGCTTTCATGCGTGCTCTTATAAAATCTTTTGATTTGATTTGCGGATTTCAGCACGTCGCCTCTGTTTGCGTTTAGTCGCCGAGTGTCTTTGCCCTAAAATTGTCTCCTTCTCCCTCTCCCTTTGCCTCTGCTACTCCTCTACCACTCCTCTACCACTCCTCTGTGCATTTCTCTTTTACACTGTGTATTCAGTTTACATTTGTAATTCTTGTTGGTTTTGGCTTATTAGAATTTACTTTAGCGACGGTGTTTGTCGCCACTAAATCCATACAAAATGTCAAGTTGCTTGCCGCATTTGCATAAATTTAGTCAAAGCTAAATTGAATTTCTTGATGTTCTTTTCTTGAATATAAAAGTGCTTGTTAAAATCCCAACAGAACTGTGTAGATTTAGCAAAATGTACAAGTTTCTTAAGGTGTAATGGTTTCTTTTATTTCATTTTGTTTTAATTTAACACTAATCTATCTTTGTTGACGTTGAGTCGCATTTGAATAAGCATGACTACATGCATAGAACACAGGCTGCATTACGGCATTATGCAAGCCGTGTGAATATGTGGCATATGTGGCATAGTCTGTTCTTTGTGCAACTGCAAAATCTACAAAGAAGAAACTTGGCACTGAATATGCGCATAAATTTCAATGTACATACATCAACAGGCAATTTTCGTCATTGCGCTTTGAATGGCGCAAACGAAGGATGTGCTACAACATCCAACAATTCAATCAAGCGAACGATTTGTGGCTAACGCCCCAACAACCAACAACCGACCAACGACAACCGACAACCAGCTGCCACAGAGACACTCGGGCAAACGCCTTAAGCCTCAGGCCGAGCGGAAATGCACGAGCTGAACGGAAATAGAGCGGTGAAAATGCCAGCACGAAGCCAAGAGCCAGAAACGTAGGCGACAAGTGGAAAACTTTCTGTTTACCTGCCCAACAATTTTCCCTATAGTCACTTCTGTGTGTGTGTGTGTGTGTGTGTGTGTGTGTGTGTGTGTGTGTGTGTGTATATATGACTTTGTCTGTGTGTATGTGTGCTCTGCATTCGTGCAGTGATGATTTTATAACAAGCACAATTCTATTTTTTAAGTTCCATTTTTTCTTTGTGAACAATTATTAGTCTTTTATAATATAACAAAAATAGAATATAATAAGCTACTAGAAGAAACTTTTCGAATCTAAAAGTTTTCTAAAAAAAAATTGGGTTTAAAGTTGGTGTGACGAAAATCAAAAAACTAAATTTTTCATTGCTTGGTGAACTCTTTTAATAATTTAAATTAGTTTATTCAAGTGTTTTTATTATTATTAAAAAATCTGCATGAGTACATCTTAAAAGCTCTAGTTGAAAATAAAGAAAGAAGAAGAAAGAAGTCAGAAAATCAAAGCAAACTGTATTTATGAATATTAAATTAAATGTTCTCTAAAGAAGAGTAAAATACACACAAAATATAAAGAAGTTTGCTGATAATTTCTGAAATTTCTGCAAAATTCTTACAAACTTAAAGTATAAGTTAGCGAGTAAACACTGTGCTAAGTCAATGTGCAAATTGCAAGCAGCCAAAGCCGAAACAACGAACGCCTCCAGCAATGAACGTTTGATGCATGTACTTGAAAGTCTTTTGCCGCGGCAAACTGAAGCAATGTATGTCTGAATATGTATATATATATATATATGTGTGTGTGTGTGAGTGTGTGCCTTAAAGTCAGATGACAAGCTACAGGCGTCAGCGATGAGATGAAGTCGGACAAGCCTGACAAGCCTGGGATGAGGATGCAACCAACCAAAGCTGCACGAGCATGTAAATGAGTGTAAAAGTGAAATGCAAAATAAGTGAGAATTATATAGTCGAATCAGCTCGGCCACGCGATACCCTGAACACAACTGTTAAACATATTCGGCTAGTTTCATTGACAAATATCTCAGTTAAAAAGTTTTGCCCACTCCCATTTCTTATTGGCTGGTGCAGGCATTGAACGCTAAAAAAAAATGTAAAGCAGCGCATGCTTTTGTTTGCAAGCTTAGATTAAAATCACCGATTTGCGACGAATGTATGTGTGTGTGAATACATGCGTATGTGTATGTGTGTCTGCATTTGTGCGTATGTGTTGTGTGTCTGCATTTATGCGTATGTGTATGTGTGCATGAGTAGACGCTTATTCATTGATATCTAGGCGCTGCAGAATACACACATACATACATATGTATTTACGCTCGTTTCAATTATCATTTTGTCCCCTTCTTACACATGCACACGGATATATTTATGCAGACAGAAAATGTTAGCGTCTGCTGATAATAGTAAAGAGACCAATGTAGAAATGAATTTTGATGAAATTTGTGAAGTTGTTCAAGAATATATTATGTAAGGTTTACAATTGAAAATCGGAAATCGATTTGAATCGATATTCGTTAAGCTTAAAGACTTATACATGAAATAAAATAAATTAGATAGAGGTATAGGTATAGGTATATATATACTAAAACGTCCATCTCTCTAGCTCTCTTAGCCTCTGAGATTATTTTGTTCAATACAGTCAAACGGACACTGATACATCGAATCGGTTGTTGGTCGTCATCAAGAATATGTATACTATATGGAGTCAAAGATGCTTCCTTTCGCCTGCAACTTCATTATACCCATCTTTGATGTGCATTAGGGTATAATGATATGTGGTAGAGTAAAGTGCTATGGTCTGCCTGTCTGGCTGGCTGGCTGGCTCACTGACTGGCCAGCAGAGGGAACTAGGCCGCAACGACACATGGCCACAAAGGCACATTGGCACTTGGGCAAACCAGGCAAAATGGTGCAAATCAAATTAAAGACATGATGACAAGCGACAAGGTCGCTGACAGAGATGTGTATATGTATGCACAGTGTTACCTAGTTTTACGGGCAAACAAGTATTACATTTATACACAAATATATTATAGTCAAACTACTTTGTTGCAAAACTGCAGAGAAAAAAATAAAAATAACTTTATTTTATAGCAGTTCACTATGCAAGACTTAAATAGGGTACTTTCCATAAGTAAATGTAATAAAGACGAAAAAATAATTATGTTGTGGCATTTAATGTGACATATGTAGTCAGTGCGGCTGACAGGCGCTTGATACTGAAACAAGAGAACAGCTTGTCAGGAGCAATAGTTGACTTTAAGCTGCTGTCGACTACTTTTGCTACTGCTCCTGCCCCTTTTGCTCTTGCTCCTGCTCCCTCTGCTGGTGGGACTGACGTCAAGTGGGATGTGTGGGGAAAATGTGTCAAAGGCAAAGCCGATGGCAAACGCAGGCCATCCATCGACAATCCACATTGCAAATCGATAAAAAGCAATTTGCAGGCGACGAAGCCCGTCATTGAGTGACGAGTGCAATCAATTACAAGATTTCCCACAAGATTTCTGCATTGTGTGGCCAAGGGAACGAGGGGCCATGGACACACTTAGTCATTTAGTGGTAGTAGTAGTCTCACTCACCATCATGTCCTCGGGTATGTAGAAATCGGAGACGGCCGCTGCCAAATATAAGACGGCACGCTCCTCAAAAGCAGCGAGGCATTCACAGGCGGCACGCAGCAGCCACATGTAGTCGACGACGCTGGTGAAATTCACGTAGAGTATCATTTGGGTCTCGCGGGCAATTTTATATTTGGCCAGCACGGGGGCAAACACATCCACCGAGTCCGGCTTGATGGCTATCGTCGAATTTTGGCTGTCCGCAGTATCGGCAATGTCCAACATATCGAAGAACTGCTGACCAGTAAAGTGGCGCGTAAATGGCTCCAGTGACTTGTGGCGATGCATAAAAATGACGGCATAATCATGATCCAGAAAATACTCAGCGCTGGCCGAGCCGCGAGTGCCGGCACTAAAGTTATCCACAAAGCGCACCGTATTATGCTCCAATGGGACTGTGGTGCCGCCCGACTGTGTGTGGAGACACATTAATTATTCTTATTAAGTATGGTCAACTCATTAGCAAGGATTAGAGAGAGAGAGAGAGAGAGAGATAAAGAGAGAGTGAATGAGAGATGGTGTGTTTACCGTAACGAGGACAATGCGGTTCTGTAGTTTATTGTGGCGCTCGCAGAACTCCTTTAGCAGCGAGCGATTATCCTCGAAGTCGGCGGGCGGCAGATGTGTGTTGTAAAAGTCCTCCCAGTGCGTCATATTGTTGTTGTTGTTTGTTCTTTGTTGGCCTGGTCCAAAAACGAAAGGCGAAGGAAGCGCGCAAGGAAGCACAAAAACAAGGGCGCCGGAAACGATGCTTTGCTTTTACCGTTAATTGATATATTAAAGACACCCACACGCACGCATACACACACACACATACACACACACAAGCACAGACACACACACTTAGCTACGAAGCGAGCGGCAAACTTGAATCAACCAATCAAAGCGACAACAACAACAGCAGCAGCAGCAGCAACAAAATTAAGCCACGCAACTAAATTAATTACACTCCCAACAAAGTCGTGTGCTGCATGCGGCGTCTACAACAACAACAACAAAAACTGCTGCAACTGAACTTTCGCACTATTTAAATTCAATCTATGTATTTCCGTTTTTTTTTTCTGTCTTTTTTTTTCTTTTTGCAGTGTGCTCTTGAGCCGAGCTGTCTGCAGCGACGGCAACGGACAATTGTGTACTGACAGCAGCAGAGCAGCTTTCGTCTTGTTGCCGAGACTTTCACTTGTTTTCTTATCAATGAAAACGCTTGCGACAACACTGCGCATTCGCATTCGCATTCTAACGAAAGCAAAAGCCATGTGCGGATATACATACATACATGTATATCTGCATGTGTAGAGAGCTCGAACTTCTCTCGTGTCTATTTGAATTGAGAAGCAGAGAATTCGTTGTGCATTTTTTGAACAGTGTTCGAAGGCAGCTTGAGTGTGCGAACATCTTCAAACTGTTTGCTTACAGTAACAGTCATACCAAAGAGAACACACACATACACACACAGTGAGTGCAGGTCGCCCGATAGGATGAACAACGTTGTTGCCTCGCTGCCGGTTGCACTTTGATATATGCTTACCTTGTGACAGAAGAGAGCGCGCACCTTATTATGTTTGCTGTCGAGTTGCTGCAGAGAGTATCAAATGCAAAAGTGGGACGAAACACCACCAGATTCAAGTGTGTGACACGCGCACTCAACTTTGGCACAGTTTAGCAAAACAAGTACAAGTTCAAAGTGCAAGTTTGTTAACAAAAACAGCTGTTGCGCGTCTATGTTAAATGTGGAGCAGTTACCTTACATGAGGAGTTAATCTGTAAAATGGCAAACTTGTATTCGCGTATTATATTGCATTTTACGATTTTTAACTTTGTATGTAAAGCAGTTCTGTGCATAAATCGAACGTATTTGCAATTAATTAATTAAGTTTTTAGGTGGAGCGTTATTCTGCTAGATGGCTTCAAAGCTGCTTAGCGAGTGGGTTCGTTGTTCAACACTGCTCGCTGTTCCCATGCACCCCCCTCCCGCATACCTTTTGCAATGTAAAGCTACAAGCATGTTTATAAATCTGTTAACGCAAAAAGTGCAAATGAAACTAGGCGCTTTACTTTAAATGTCAATCAGTTAAAGAAAACACATTCAAGGCAGATAATAATAAGTTTTGATTTCGTTTAATGCAGTTACAGTTGCTTTGTTTACAAAATACTTTATTTTTTAACTCTATGCATGGGGTTAGTTGTCAAGTTGTCGCTAGAGCAAAATATCACAGAAACTTAAATATAATTGGCATGTCAACTGCATATTCTAAAATGACCTTTGATATATTATTAGTTATAGTTGTTATTGTTGTTGTGGGTAGGTATGTAGTTAATTGCGTCGGTTCATGAAAGGCACCCGTCCACACACACACACACACACAGGTATGTGAGTGAGTGCAAATTTATGGCATTCATTATATGAACTCCCTCCGCCCAATTCATGTGACCAATTAACAATGCTATCAAATGCAATTTAAAATTAACTTAAACGTAATTGAATCTCATCCTACACAAAAACAAATAAAATTAAAACCAAAAACTGACATTGCACTACGAACGCGTCGTAGCCGACGTTGTGGTGGGGGCATACGGGCTGAGAGTGTGAGGATATGTCACATGATAGTCCGTCTCGTCGACGCCCTCCTCATCCACATCCCGATTGACCAGTCTCTCTCGCATTCCATATCGCTGCCTGAGAGGGAATCACAAGTTAGCACATGCCAACAATTAGCGATAATTTTGCTACTCACTCTAAATGCGACCGCCATATAACCAGTCCCGCATAAAGACACACAGAGATCAGAGCCACAACTACTAGCACAATGCTGAGCAGCAGATGGCTTTCGCTGATCGCACTCGACTCCACATCTACTGGCGTCATCTCGATGTTCTCGGCCACAAAACTGTCTGTGTCCGTATTGTAAATGCCGTGTCCCTTAAAGCGCTCCTCCAGCTCATCGCTGCTGCTGTCCTGATCTGAGTCATCATTGTCGCCAGACTCGAGTATTTCCACGTCGTATTTATAATTCTCGGCCAGCACCAAATTTGTCGCAGTGTTTAGCTGATAAGAAAAGGGGACAGAACCGTTAATTGGCATACATATAATATGTCCATATATATATTTCCATGTAAATGGGTTTATAGCAATGGATGACAGTTAAATTTCATTTGGCACGTGATTAAATGTCGATTTCTAACATTTTAATAAAACGAGGCAGGTCTATTAGTTTTCATGCATGACAAATTGTGTGCAGAAGGCCTGTGGGCATTTATCACATCAGCCTTAAAACTGATATGTAATTGATATATTAATCAGATATGATTGAATGCCTTCCACGAGTTGAATTCAAACATATAAAAATTTCAGCAGTAGCTCATAAGTAATAATCTTAATTAGATCGGAAATCTCCACTAAGCTAATTTATTATACCTTAAAAGTGCGAGTTTCTGAGTTTTAACGATCGAAAATTAAAAGATATATGTTTATGAGAATCATAAAAAATAATATATTCATATTAACTTATTCGTTATTAATTCTGGCTCTGAAGTATTCCAAATAAAACAAACAATTTCTTATGAAATATTTAAGAGCTATTCAGAACTTGGAAGTATTTACTTTACTCATATTATATCTGTTTGTTATAGAAAATCAAGAATTTGAGTGATTAAATCAAGAATTCTGAAGTAATTCACTTTTTCAGTGAACGCAAACATAAATTTCTTATGCAATGATTCAGACATTTTACGGCATTTAAAGGTATTTACTTTAACCTTAATTGCGCCTTAAACAGTAGCATTACGCTTAATCAAGAGTCATTAGCTCTTTAAAACACGAGAAGACAATAAGATAAGCAAGGTCTGATAACTGTTATTAGAGACTCTTTGCACTTGCTGCAAGCTCTGGTTACACAAGCCACACTCAAAGCTTTCCATTGACCCTAGGGTCGTAAGCTAAGGCGAGCAGATCAGGTCGCCGCTGTAATTTAATAAAGTCGAGTAAGTAATTCTGCTGCTGCTGTTGCTGCTGCTACGTGACTTGTCATTTTGTCTCTCCCTCTCTCTGTCTCTACCTGTGTCTCTTTCTCGCGTCATGTTTCACTTGGAACAAGCAGCGACAAAAAAAGTAAAATAAAAAATATAAAAAAAATAGTATATCTAATAAAAGTGGATAGGTGTAATAAGCCAGGCGGAAATTGAATGAAACTCATTTTATTTTTTTTATTTGAGTGCTGAAATCGCGTGCGAGTCGCGCTCAAATCGCGCTCAGTCAAATATTGACATTGAAACGTCATCGAGCTGGGAAATAACGCTTAGAACTCGGCTTGAAAGTTGAACGGTTGAGTCATAGCCGTGACGTTTGATATTAGACTTCGGTGGTTGTCAGGTGGAACAGAGTTGGGGTATCCACTGCCACCACAGAAATTAAAAAACAAGACGACGCGTTTAGTGCTGTCTCTGTTTCGATTACAAGTGAATTTTTATGGAATTTCGTGACTAAGACGCTAAAAACCCTCATCGACGAGACTTCGTCTGCTTCTTCTTCATTATCTTCTTCAGTTGCAGCTTAATTTTATGCAAAATGTGACCACACTGGAAATTATCGTTGCGTGCGTTTTGAGCCTTATAAGGCAAACAGCGCGCGTGTCTTTCTTGCGGTTTTTGCATTTAATCAAAGTGAAAATAAATATACATATACATACGTATATTTATATAGATATATTTATGTGTATACAAAAATGTCTTAAAGCGGCAAATTTCCGGTTCTGTATAAAAATAAAGCGACCAAGCTCATATTTCATTTGATTTTTGTTTTTGCTTTTTCGGTGACGACTTTTTGAAATAACTTGGGTGCGTCAGAAGTGACTTTGGAGCCGGTCGGTCCTTTGTCCGCTGGCCCAATTCCTCTCGGCTTGGGGCCAGTTATTAGCTTACCTCCTCGCCAGCGCTGACAGCTGTGTTATTTTTGGCTGCCTGTCCGCTCGAATCACTTTGTGTGGCAGTATCAGCTTTCCTCGTTGCGTCGTCTTCTACGGGTTTACCATTGCCTGTTGTAATAACAAAAATCATGCAATTAAGCAGAAAAGATTAATTAAACATTTTCCTTGAATAAAAAAGCCGCAAATCTTTAAATATTTGCTCAAGTGTTATGCGAGTTAAAAAAAATATATCACACCTTGGTTTATTGGACCAAATTATTTATCTTGCCACAAATATGCTGGGAAACCCATAATCATTATCTAGCGCAGAAGCTGACATATTTTTTTAGTGGGACACTACAAATGACGTTCAAATGTAGAAGCGACAAACCAATTCAAACCGGTCTACAGGTACATATATTTTTATAGTATTTGTTTTGAACATAATATAACAATAAAACCATTCCTAATGCCAAAGGCTGTTTTGGCATGCGTATCACATAAAATGTAAATTTAGGTTTTGCGAATATTTGCACAAAAGGTTGCTCCCAAAAAAATTTTGGGCATTTGAAATAGTGTTTGGCATGGCCAAAAACCCAATTCTGTTGCCAAGTATTGCAAATATGAAAAAATGCCACAATGCGTGAATCAATTGCTTATCAAATGACAGCAACTGTTATCAAAATTGTAATCATAATCGCGAACAATATCTTATCAATTTTGAAGGAAGCGAATAAATGAGCATTCTAAATTTAAATAAACACTTTTTTACGCATCCCTTATTTTGTTTTGTATAATAAAAGACCTTGATGTCATTTTCAAGGCTATAGTTAGCACAATTAAAAATGATATTTATGTGCCATAAACTTGGCTCTTAACGTTAACGGTGCTAGGCAAAGGGTAATTGCTTATCCAAGCGTACATTTGGCCTCCGTTCTGCCTTCCAGCTGCATTGGAAACTAGTTTCCACTTAATGTAAGAGTAGATAAATAAATATTGAGACGCTGCGTGGATTTTTGTAGTGTGCCTTGGCTATCTGTTGGCCTATGTATGTAAGTATGTGTGTGTGTAGCTGGGTGTGTGTATCTGTGTGTGTGTTTGTGTGTGTGTTTGTGTGTGTGTACACACAGATGTACTACTTACAGAAACCCGTCAGAAGCAGCACCAGCAAGAGACTGCAGAATTTTAAACCGTTGCTTTTGGCACGCATTTTCGCTTTATTTAGTTGTTTTTTTTTATCAATTATTAATGAGTTCGCTTATCACTTGCGCGTTAATTTATAAAAGGTTTAGCACAGTGCGTCAGCTGATATTTTGAGTAAGGTGAGTAATTGTCGGGATGTTAAACATAAAAACACTTTATGATCAATTAATTCGTTCGGTTGTGCGATGCTTTTTCGCACGTGCATTCGCGCCGAGCTCTGCTTGAAGACTGAGCGCAAACTTTACAAACGAGCAGCGACAAAGCTTTCAAGAGGGCGAGAGAGCGAGAGAAAGAGCTTGCGTCAAGTTCAAAGTTAACGGCCAGATCAGAGCGAATGACAAAGAGAAGTTAATTTGTTTGTGCGAAGCTTATACCATAAACCAGTTCGAAATCGTTTTGTGCTGATTTATATCAGTGCTGAGGACAATACAAATTAAAACGGTAGATATTTTTTTATGATAGCATTAAAATAAATCTGAAAAAGTTAAATGCATCGTATTTTGTACATATCATCAATAAATTAATTGAATAAAATCATAAGCTCTAAATATTGCCCGCTCACTTAGAGATTTATTTAAATAACAGCTGTTTGAGTGTTGAATCTCATTATACTTTTGTGAGTTATTAATTGGAAAACAACTTTTTTGATTGGCAAAAAAAAAAAAAACGCTGAGTTGATAACAAATAGCCATAAAAATGTATAGACAGGTAGTTTTTAAAAAGGCTAAAATGGCAGCACTCATTAACACACAGCTTAAAAGTCTTCTTTTCTCACTGTGAATTGAATAACTACATTGAATCACGACGCGAACCAGTGAATTCAAATGAACCAAGCTATCAATGTGAATGATAAAGATATACATATGTATGTGATTTTTAGGTACAATTTAATTTTTATTATTATTTTCTAGACTTTGAATGTGAAGCGTCTGGGTTATACAAATTGGAGATGTGTTCCTTGTTGATCTGGCTTTCGTCGAGTTTCAGCTATTCGTACTGTGTACAGTGAATTTTTATACATATGTCAAAGGCAACACGGGCCCTAAAACGTAATATATCTTCTTCTATATAATCAACAATTTAACTTTAGAATTACAAATTGCTTGCACTTTTAGCTTCAACATTAAAATTTTGGGGGCGGGGGTTGGAGGGGCCAAAAACACTTGGCCACCGGGCGCCGACGGACACGGAACACTCTGAGCACCCAAGCCCACTGGTTCATATACAGCTTACAAGATAAGTTAAAATATACAACATATATAGTGCCGGCCGGCTGGGCAATCAGGGAGAAGCATGGCCGTCGATGTTCGGTGGTCAGCCAGTGTCGCGTTCCAGTGGGTGAACGAACAGCCGTGCCAGCAATCTGCTGCATCACAGATAAGTAAAGGGAAACCGACCAGCAGCTCCGGCACGGAAGAGATCACACGCACTGGTACGCGACAAAAGTAATCTATATATATATAAGAGTGAAACTTCTGTCACACATTTAAAACCTACAACTTCTACAACTATGTTCTTTGTAGGATGTCATTGTGTCTGTCAATGATTCGACTGATGGTTGATGGATGATGATGAGTGTAACTTAAACTGCTTAGAGGTAAATCGCGTGCAGCTTTCGGTGTCGTTTAAACAAATTGCTCCTGACTGTTGGCCGACAGCTCCATCAACCGCCAGGCGGCTTTTGGATTGAGCTCGTTGCGATCTCGGCACAGCACCCACACATAATGGACACGCATCACCTTGTCGGGATCACCCTCGACGACTTGGGCCTTCTGGTCGCGCACGCACATTATTTGCTGCGCCTGGAACGTGATAATCAGCACTGGGCCCTGCTCCATGACCTTGCCCATAGCGAGCTCGATGTTCTCAATGTCCAGAATTTTTGAGTCCAGATACAGTCCAGACTTTTTCGCTTGCGTTATGGGCGTGGCAATAATGTTGTACGTACTCTCGAAGCACCAGTCCTTCAGAATCTCCAGATCGCCACGCACAATGGCCTCAAGTACATTTGGTATAATATCCTTCTCGCAGTCGTGCAAAAACTCCTTCTGATCGAAATTGGGATCGATTTTAACGAGTTCCGTCATCGTCTCGGACAGCTCTGTCTTGGAGAAGAGACCACCCATCACATCAGATACCTTGTCGGTGAGCAGACGGGACGCTCTGATCACCGGATTTTCCGATTCATCATATTTCACTTTCCAGTCGAATACTTTATTTACATAGGTATTGTTGTTCTTGAAATTCTCCCAAGATTGATAAAACTTCGAGTCCTTGTGCAGCTCCAGGCCTGCAAGAATGGAAAAAGGTAATCCAGTGTTCTGGCTTATTGTAAAGTGGAACATTTCGCTCACCTGTTGCTTCAGTATTTGCCTCCACGACGCGCGTGCTATCGGCCAAATCGACCTGGACACGCTTGCGCAGCTTGACCGGTGAGCAATACACACGATTGTCTATGCTCGTCGCATTCATTTCCTTTTTGATCATTGTCGTCGTGTCGGAGATGGCCTTGAAGGCGCCAGATTGGCCAATTTTGTCGCTTGTGTCTGTTATCGTATCGCTGACGCCTTTCGCCTTCTTCGACAGCTCTTCGGAGACTTTTTTGGCCAGATCCGATTTGGAGGCATCGTCAATAACATCGCCCACTTTCTCCTTGATGGCGCCCAGCTGCTCTTTCAATATGCTCGACGACTTTTGTGCTTCCGATTCAACAATGTTGAACTTTTGCCGCGCCGACTTTAATGCATCCGATTGTTCCAGCTTTTGGGCCTCTTCACGAAACTTCTTTATGCTATCCTTCATCTCCTTGTTCTTATCCATTTCACTGCGCACATTCTCAACGAACTGTGAAAAGAACCCGGGTCGGCGTCCGGGCGTGCCATACCAGCGTTGCTATCAAACAAATAAACAAGAAAACCATTTAAAAACCTCTGTTTTTTTTTTTAAATTGCGAAAGTGTTTTCAACTCACCGGCTGTTGTTGCAGGTTGGAGCTCGCTAACTGATAGGTGATGAAGCAGGCACGCTCCCGCGTTAAGGCAGCCAATTTGTACTGGAATTAGAAAAAGGAATCAGGTTTATTTATATATATATGCTGATTAGCACTCGGTGAACTTGGGGCATGTTTAACCTCGAAACGGTCACATGTGAATGGATGGATTGCGATGCCTGGCGCCTGCTTGGAATGTATGAACCTACCATGGTGACAGATGCTGCTGCTAACTGGAGTTTAGGCCGGATTTTCGCTGTGTGAGCAAATGCTTGGCAAGTTTACGTCAATTGTACGAAATTTATGTAATTCGTACCCGGAGACACGCACGTATCTCAATCTAAGCAGCAGCTGTTTTTCGTGAGTAGTGTTGGTAAGTAATTCGTTAAGTGCTGCGTAATGTATGTGGTCACCGCGCAATTTGAATTGTGAAGTGCGTTTTGTTATGTATATATATGTATTTGTTGATTAGTGGCGGTCAATTGTCGCCGCTACTCTACAGTTGTTATGTACTATATAATTAAGTGATTACTAAATCCTGCTTGCTATGTTGAATTATTGTTTATTTTGTTTGACATTTGGCTATTAAACTAGGTGGCAACGCTTAGGACGATCATGTTGAGCTGTCATAAACCGTTACTTGAGCGAGCTTACCGTAATTCCTGTAAATTTGCCTGTACATGATTCATGCGTAAGCTTGTCATTTAACAGATTTTGCGTAGCTTGCGCCAGTTGCCGCTCGTTGGGTTTTTGACAAATTATATTCTTTTATTTCTTTTGTTATTTCCGTGCCAGTTTTAAACGGTGAATTTAAGTTAGAATCATAATTAAGATTGTTTAAGAGCAAGAAGTAACGCTAATCTACTTCAAATAAACAAAATTCAACTTAGTTCGAACGAAAAGTTCACGAAAGTTAACGGCACTTGTTATTGGCACTTGTCATGTTTCGCAGCAGCAGCCTGGAAGGCAATACACCAATTGTAAGTGGACGCCATTGCAACTTTTTGCTACCAATGATATTTACACACACACACATATGCATGTGCATATGTATGTTTATATGTATATTGTATATGTATTAGGACAATATTTCGGCCTTTCATGCGTTAGGCGGCCTTAACATGTATTTGGACACTAGTCCACAGCACAACAACAACAACAACATGTACTTGGACACTAGTTCACAGCACAACAGCAACATGTCGCCGCCTATATCCGTCTCTGCCCCACTGAGTCCGCCGACGACGCCGCTGACACCGGAACACTCCACAATGTCGTCGACTCAGTTTCCTCTGCTGACCGACAATGTGCAATTGAACACGGCCAATGCATTGCTGCTGCAGCGACAGTATCAATACCATCTGCTGATCCAACATCACCAGCAGCAAATTGCCTTGGCGCAGCATCAGTTGGCTTTGGCCGCTTCAGCGGCTGCTGCGAATCATCACCAAAAGGACGAGATAGCGCATTCTCTGAAAATGTTTGCGCTTCTCACGGCCTGCAATGCAGGTAGGTGCGAGCGGGACAGATAGAGTGGGCAGCGGTACAGTTTCCAGTTAATAGAAATAGCTTTTTAAATGCTTTTGGTTATTGAACCCAATTGCCAATTTTACACTCTGTAATGCATTTTAAAGTGTGACTCTAAAACTGTAGCGATATGTTTGGCTTCATATTTGAGGATTTATTTTGAATGGAAATGTTACATTTTACTTTAATCCTTTGCATAGATAATGCCAGTGGTAGCACATCGGATGCTATGCATGACTTTGCAGCCAATGGGTATGTGAGCGATGACTTTAATCGTTTTAATTGTGCAACGCCGCAGCCCCAACAGCCGCAGCAGCAATTGCTACGCCAACAGTTCCCCAGTGCAACAACAACAGTTGCTGGCAATTCGGCGAATGCAGCAGGAGTCTTGCCGTCACCACTGGCCGCTACTCAGTTGAACCTCAACAATTGGGAGCATCTGAATAATGTTTGGCGTAGCATGTCCATGGCCTACATGCCGAATAACACAGCGGTGAATGCAAGCATTGCATTGGCATCTGCTAGCCAAAAGACTACACAAACCCCCGTGGTTGTGGCTGTGCCGCCAGATCATGTTCGTAATGTGACCAATGTGAACATTACCAATAACAATAACAATAAACAGCAAAAGCGATACAACAATTCGAAACCCAAGGAACAGGTGAGCGGCTAAAATTCGTTATTTGCTCATTTTCATTTGAACACTTCAATCCTCGACAGGTGCAAAGGCACTGTGTTTTCTGTGAAAACAATAATGAACCCGAGGCTGTGGTCAACAGCCATTCCGTGCGCGACACTTTCGGACGTGTATTGTGTCCCAAATTGCGCACCTATGTGTGCCCCATATGTGGAGCATCGGGAGACTCGGCACACACCATTAAGTATTGCCCCAAGAAACCCATAGTCACAATGGAGGATGCCATTAAGGCTGAATCATTCCGACTGACTAAAAGCAACTATTATAAGCAGCAGATGAAGGTTTAAGAATTGCTGAAACTCTGGCAGTTTCTCGGGAATGTTTATATAACAGATATATATAAATCCACTCGCAAACTATCATCAATTAAGAGCTGCAAACACATTGCGCCCGGCGCGTTCGATTTTCTTATTATATATGGCTTTATATATAATATATATATTTACTTTTTTTTTTTAAATTCGGTCTGCTTAGTGTAATCAATAGCTACGCACTCGGTGTCAATTTATAATAATTGTTTCTTACTTACAATCTCGTAATATTTGTTAAATCGCAGCGACCGATTAAACGGTCTGCAAACTGGCTTTTTGATAAGTGCCAGCATTTTTGTTACCGCCAACGATTCTCAGCGGTTCGATAATCTGCAATATTGTTTTGATATATGATATATCAATCTGTGAATTGAAGACTTTGAATTTTGAACTGCCTATCGTGTTAGAGTTTAAATTGAATATTTACTCAAGAAAAAGAGTAATGAATATTTTCGATGGCAATCTTTTCACAGTATATGTTTTTAAAATTTGACATAAAAAAGTTGAGTAACAAAGCAATTTTTAATATATGTTTATTTTCACTCTTTTTTTCTGAATTCTAATTACCAATATATATTTAAATTATATATTTAGTAAATTGTTTTCAAATCGTACAAATCATAATGTATTAATATATAAAAAGGATATATTTTTTTTTTTATAAAAATGCAAAGAATATTTCAAATGATCGAATTAAGTATATAAACTATGTAAGCCAAAGTTGAATATACTGGCTAAATCGAATAAACTATTTAGTTAACCTAAAGTGCGGCTTATTTCTGATACTCTGCTACCATTAATCAGCATCGTTCTCCGGACGTTTCTCGAACAGCGCCAAAAATATGCCATCAGTAAGATCCTCATCCGGGAGACAGTACAAAACGTTTTTGCCAATTTGAACGTACTCCTTGTCGCCGACATTCTGCCACTTGTTACGCAGTGCCTTCTTGCAACTGAGCAGCTTGAATGATGGATTCAGCTGCAGGCATCGCTGGACCACTTGCTCATTCTCCTCCTTCCACAGCGAGCAGGTGCAGTAGACAATGCGTTTGACATCGGGAAAAGCGCTCATGGCATGCGACAGAATCTTGATCTGTAGCCCAGCCAGTTTATATAGACGCTTGTCATCCTTTTGCTCATCGCAGACGCTGATGCGACTTTGCATTCCGTTGCCGGAGCAACTGGGATCCACCAATATATATTCGACATCCGGACATTTCTCTGCATCTAAGGTGAAAACTTATTTAGCAATGATCGGCTTAACAGAATTTGTGTGACTTACTCATGGTGAGAGCATCGCCCAGAATGGGCGTAACTATCTGACAGCCAGCCTCGTTGGTAATGTTGCACAGGGCCATGTAGCGCTCCTTGGACTGCTCGACGGCGTAGATACGACCCTTGTTCTGCATAACATTGCACATATGCAACGTTTTCATGCCGGGAGCGGCGCACATGTCCAGCACAGTTGCTCCAGCAGGCGGTGCCAACATCTCAGCAGCCAGGCAGGTGGCCTTGTTTTGCAATATGAACTTTTTGCTGTGGACAAAATCGTGGGATGCCCAGTAGTGACTCCACTTGTGATGGAATATCAGCACACCCTCCACATGCATGTCCATCAGGAACTCATCCTCCTCCAGGGCGCGTATGGCGTTGAGAAAGTCAGGGTATGTGGCGTCTGCTGGCAGCTGCTTGCGTCGCCACTCCTCGCCATACAAATAGTCCAGGGCATCTTCAATGCTGAGCAGATTTGTATTGATGCGCACATAGCGTGGATTGGGCTCTGTGTATTCAAATAACAAAATTTGTTTGTTGTGTTACAAAAGTGGTTTTTATTAAGACGGCTGTTCTTAAACTAAATTACTGTTCTTTCTTATCTTCCTCTTGGCTAGATGTCAAAGGAGGATCCTTTTCGCGAATCGCCTTTAACACATACATGGCGACAATAGCATTGACCACCAGCACAGCTGTCAGCACAGAGTAGGCGTTCACTTCAAACAAGCTCAGTTCGGGATATGATTCCATCAGCCAGGAGCGCACACCATAGAAGCCCAGGAAGGGCAGCGTGAACATCAGCACACTGTACGCCATCAGCCAGAGAAACACTTCGAGGCTCTTATCCAGCGATTGCTCCAGCGGTGCCTCAAGTTCCTCACTGAGTTCAGCTTGCGAAACTATTGGTTCCATGGCAGACTGCGTAACTGGTTCCACGGCCAGCGTCGATTGCTTTTTCGACTTTTTGGTCATTGTGTGCTTTAATACTCAACCGATGGCTGTTGCTAATACTGTTGGAACTACAGGTACGTCAATGTAAGAATAACACCTGCCTTTCTTTTGGATGTCTGAACCGCCTATTGCCTGCTGCAATCGCTCCTTGTACGTTCGCACCGTTTGCACTGGTTTGCTATCCCCGTTAAGTTGTCCGCGTCCAAAAATCAGTTCTGTGACAAGCACTTTTGCCAGTGCCGAGTCCAAATTGGGATTGTCTTTCAGCAGGCCCGTCTCCTCGATGGCGTTGTCCACAGCACCTCTGTTGTCGCTGTAATGTTTCAGCACCGCTTGCAAGCTGCGAACACGCTGTTAATGTGAAAAAGACAATAGTTGAAATTAGCTGCTTGTTATTTGTGGTTTGTTGTTTGGCGTACCGCATGCTTTTCCTCAAATATTAGGGATTTTATGGATTTTTGTTTTTCGATGGCCGCTTTCAATATTTTAGCTGTTGCTTTATATTGGGTTGGCACTTTTATTGAATGTGTAAATTGGCTCATGATGTATCACGTGTAAAATTGTATCGAATCATTCGGACTAAGTTCGTTTGAGCGACAACAAATGAACCTTTTCCCTCAGCGTCGTTCATTTAGTTCGATATTTCAGTTCATTGTTCACTATTATCAACAGCGCGCTATATATTTTGCTTACAAAACTGCTGACCAGTTGTTTTGATAGGTGCCAAATTAAAAGAAAGTGCCAATAAAAAGAAGATAAGCGCACATAAGCGTTCATTGTGGCATATATTTTGTAAGATAAACGGTGAAAAGGATGTAAATAGCAGCGCCATAACAGAACCATGACAGACCACAACAGCTATTCAACTTACTTCCTAACTGATATCGATAAATTGTGATATGTAAAACTTCAACACTTGAATGGTACCGATATTATTAGCGCGCGTAATTGGAAAGTTCATTTGGCAGCGAAGTCAAATATATACTTTAATTAGCGATTTGTTCGGCGTACTCGCCTTGAAGACAGTTTCATTCATTGCGCCCATTCATTCAAAATTACTGACTTATTTTAGAATGTCCATTATTTGACAGTGAGAACCATGTAAAAGTAAACGCTGGTGATTTAAAGTTGTATAAGTTTATATGATTTATTTCATAGACAACGACTAAAATGCATTTTAAACATAGATTTTAGCTTAGCTAATTGTGTATGTAATATTCTTGCGTTTGGTTAAAATTAAGAGCATTATCTTAATTAGACACACATGCACATATGTATATATGCATGTATATATGTAATAAAAGGTGGCTACAGCTAATACGGGATTTTAAATGGTATATGGTATGTAAATGGTAAATGGTAATGAGTACAAATTCAATTGGTATTTAACTGCTTGCAGTTGTAAATGCTTAATTAATCAATGAATTATACTATTGCGCACCTGTCTGTGTGTGTGGCCAGTTTTCTACGTGCTATTGTTCTCGATGTCGGGCTTGAGCAAGTGCAACTTGGTTGAAATGGGTCGCAATGACGTTGTTAGTGATGGCGATGAGTGCGATGAGTGGAGAGTACTGTCAAAGCCAGGAATTGTCGAGGTGCTGCTGCTGCTGCCACGGGAACTAAACGGCACCGGACTCGAATAATCCGTCACTGTCGACAACCCGGATTGGGTGGTGGCCAGAAAGTCCTCGGGAAGCTCGCCACGATAGGCGCCAAACTGTGGAGTGGTGCGTATAAGTTTCTGCAATGGTGTTAGACCGTAGTGCTGGTGCCGTGAGTGTCCAGTATCGCGTGCATCCAGTTTGGGTGGCAGGACCAGGGTGCTATCGATCACGGATTTGCCGTCGAAGGTGTAAAGAGCCCCGCTAGGTATGCTGGCATGTGGAATCTTTCGATTATCCGGCGGCAAGTAGTAGGTATCAATGCGTTCGGCTGCTTGAGCGACCTTGTCATCGGGTTCCGCCTCTAAATCGTCGGCAAAGTCGATTTGTTTCTCCTCATCCTCCACTGAATCAAACAGGTTCGACACGTCATCATATTCGGGATCATCCTCCTCCGGAGAGCTATGTTTCTTTTCAACTACGCTTGGCTGATTTGTGGCCGTTAGCCGCTCCTCCTGCGCCTCGGGCTCGCTATGCGTCTCGTCCGCGTCCACTTCTTCATCATCATCCCCACTGAACAATTCCTCGAGAGACGGTTTACGCAACTCAGCCGCCGCTGGCAGCGTATGTGCCGCTGAGGGTAATCTCAGCGGTGATGCGGATGGCGCGGATGTCCCGGATTTCACAGTGTCATCTTGTGCCGCCTTCAATGCCAGCATTGTCGCATTGGTGCTATCCAGCGGAGACGGTATGAACATCGGTTCAAAGCTTTGCGTCTCGCTACCACCCTGCTGGGCGGTGAGGAATAGGGTATCTGTTTCCATGACCTCATCGATTTCCGTACCGGGATCCTCACGTCGAAGAGCCACCTGCTCGATTAGCTCCGGTGGTAGCTGCACTCCATTGCCATCGTTCCGCATGATTGGACGGAATCCGCTTTCGACGACCACGGAGTCTGGCTTGAATCCTTGATTGATTGCTGGACGCATGCTGGCAATTTGCTGCGGTGATGGTTCCTCGGGCAGTGGACGTTTGATAAGTGGTGTCATCGTGGATGTTGTTGTGGTCAGCACGTGTTTTTGCTCTACTTTGGCATTTACATTAAAGTAGTTGGCTGCCTTAAGGGATGCTTGAGGCTCCACATCCACATACGGCACGGGTAGTGAAATAATGGGCTTGGTCTTGATTTTGGTACGGTCTGCACCCTCTCCGGTCTTTCGCTGTCCGGGACCTCCGAGTTCCGTGGGCTGACCCAAGAGCAGCACTGAGGCGGCTATTGGTTGTATGGGAAAATGCTTCTCCTTGAGGAAGGGCTTCAGCAGGCTGGGCATCGGCTTGCGATAGTGATTAACAATCAGCGAAGATTGTGGCAGTATGCTGCCCAATGGCGGATGCTGTTGTGGTAGTACCGGTCTGGAAGCGGGCACCTTTTTAATGGGACTGGGATACGGTCGACGGCCGGGCAGCTTGACGGGATGGAAGAGCGGTGCATTCTGCGGCGGTCGTAGATATTCAGAGAGGCTAATCGTTTTCTGCGCCAGCGCTGGAAGATTACTAGTTAGATTGTGATGGTGCAGTGCTGAGTGAGCTTGAACGTGAGCATGATGATGGTGCGGATGCTTATGCGGATGGGGGTGTGAATGGGGATGGGGCAGGGCCTGGGGGAATGGGTAGTGTGCGTTGTGCAAATGCGGATATTGTAAACGCTGCTGATGCAAATGAGTGTTAACAATTACAGATTGCGGTGATTGCGGTGCTGCGAAAATGGGCAGTTTCGGATGAACCGGTGTTGACGATGAAGACGACGAGGAGGAGGAGGAGGAAGAGGAGGAGGAGGAGGCGGAGGACAATTGCGATGATGGTTTTAATGAATGAGTTTCGCCATGCAAAATCTCTGGTCTGGCTGGTGCCAGCAATGGTTTCGATGGTATTCGAGAGCCGATAATGTCATTGTTGTTGCCGTTGTTGTTGTTGTTGGTTTCTCGTAAGTGTGTCGGTGGTTCGGCTAGGATCGACTGGTTCCTTAGTAGGCTCTCCTCGAGAGCCTCTGCAGCGCGGATGCCATCTGAAATCAGTTTGGTTATTTCCGAAGATTTCGTTATTTCAAAACTCAGTTTAGGCGGTGTTCCATTCATATTGTGATTCTTAATCAAATCGGTTTGGTGCTTCAATAAAAAATTATCGTTGGGGCTGACCTTGGTTTCGTGGCGTATCGATGACTCGGCGGCATAGTCTTCCCGCACCGGCACCGGCTCGTGCAATTCAAACCGATTGGAGGCGGCGCCTATGCCATCACCGAAGCCATCGCACGAGTCGTGCACGTGTATCTTCCAGCCCAGATAACGATGCGTGAAACAGTGATAGTAAACGGTGTCCGGCGTATTCCTATCCGGCTTCCAGCTGATTACACCCGGCTCGCCGGCATCACACTTGAGTGTCAGCGTGCGCTGGTATGCCCCAAAGGATTGATAGTCATCCGCCGGTGGTCCATCCACATCGGGCGTCCAGTTGCACAAACGGCCAACGCCCGTTGGCGTCACTTGGCCAGACCTGGAGCGATGAACACCAGCAAAGATGCGTACGGCCTGGACATGGAATCAAGTCATATAGTTGCAGCTATTACAGCAATTCCCTTCTGTTGCCTTACCATCTTCTCCTCCTCGCGCTTGTGCTCGTAGCCACCAACTGGATCGTCGCTAATATAGAAGGGATGATACTTGGCGGGTATGTCCGGATTGTTGCCGCCCTCAACCACAAAAGTGTAGGTCCTGCCGCGGACCACATGAAGCTCGGGAATCAGTAATCCGTTGATGTACCAAGAGATGCCCCAACCCACATGACCTGCAATAATATAATAAATTAATAGGAGACAAGGCAGGAGATCATAATTCAAAGGCTTTAGTGGAAAGTGATTGGCCTGAATTAGATGGGGGTGTCTCCATCTGGTTTTTTATTTAAATATCTTGAGCAATACCCACCGGTTATAGCTGGATAACCATGCTTTCCGCCCGTTGGTCCCATTTGAGCATAGAAGACACCATCCTCCGGCTCATGACATTGTATGGCCGGAATATCCCAGGCACCGTTGCTGTTCACAGGCTTGGGTGTAGGCACCGGACGACGTTGGGTGGATACGGCGGTCTCTTGGCGGCGCAGTGGGCCTTGTGCGGTGGTGGTGCGTTGCAGGGCCTGAGCACGATTCTCATAGAACTCCTCGTCGGGCTCAATGTTGGGACGTCCTGCGGGTGGATAGCCCGCACCGCCAGTGGAGCTAATTTGTGTGACTTCCTCTTCCTGTTCGGTGGTGCTGCTGCTGCCTGGCTTGGCACCCTCCGGCAGTGGGCAATTCCATTTGGGCTGGCGTCCAAACTCAATCTGCTGCAAATGCTTATTATAGTAAGTGTGGAAGGAGACCTCCCGGAAGTCATTCAAGGGCCCAATGGCCCACACAATGGACTCCACATCACTGATTGAGATGGGCAAGTCCAGACGATCAGTGGCAGAGAGCGATCGCTGATAGGTGACAATGGAGTAACCATTGACCATGGCCGCATTCAGTAGTCGTATGGAGTTGGTGTTTGGCTGTATCTTCACATCTGGACAGGCGCCACGACTGCCCGAACATTGGGCCTTGCCCTCCAGGAGATAATCCTGGGCAAAACCATTGCCGGTCTCGGGATCCACCCAGGCAACGGCGACATCGGCGCCAATCATTTGGCTAATGTTCTTGTTGGGCGAGATGCCAAAGGACATGTAATTGTTGGGTTCTGTGGAGAATTGAGAAGTGGGGAGTGGCATTCTCAGAAATTCGAACGTAATCAACGAAAGTTGCTCGCCCCATTTCTGGAGGCCGCAACACAGTAACAACAACAACAACAATATGCACCTAAATGGGTGCCTAACCAAACAACTAAGCAACCGGTTGCCACGTTCCAGGTGAACAAATTCCAGTTGGCATTCTTAGCGGTTCCAAATAGCACTCGCCAAGAGCCTAGAGCTCAAGACTCAAGATTCAAGACCAGTAGCCTCCAGAAGAACGCGTGCCACAGCAATGCACTCGTAGATGGTCATGCTCCAAGATATTGTGTGTGCAGATGCAGACCCGAGCCATCGTGAAGCATTGCCAGCATCCACCACTCGATGGTCATTAATTGCCCCGTGCTCCGTGCTTTGGTTGCGCAATAAACCAGTCGTCATATATTTTGCAACTTGTTATTCTACTAACGTTGCTGCCGCTGATCGGTCAATTTGGCGGCTGCTAACTGGATTTTTGTGTTGTTTCATCTTCAACATGTGTGCGAGTGTGTGCGAGTGGGTGCGAGTGTGTGAGTGCGTGTGTTGGGACTCCTTTATTAACTGTACTCGGTAAAATGTCAAAGCATCATAAAACGACTAAACTCGGCTATTCCCAACTGAGCAACTATTCAAGGTCTATGAGGGAAAAGGGCTTTGCTTGTGGCTCAAGAAGTGGCTAATTAACTCCAAAATATTCTAATGGTAGATACTAAAAAAACCTTTTAATGAGCCATGATTATATTGAAAGGTGTTGCTCGACTTGTTAAGTTAAAATATATTGGAAAATTTGAAATCAGTTTGATTTCATCTACTTTAAATGAACACAATAAGTATGAGATATGTTTGATTTCATAGAAATGAAATATGGAGTCGGAATTGCAAGTACAATAGCATGATGAATATATTTCTATCATTATATCATATAGCTTCTATAGGAACAGTTGTTCGAAAGTTGAATGCTTCTAGAAACAACTTATTTGCTTATCAAGAAATCCAAGAAACAAACTCATTAGTTGTATATGTTCTTCGGGAAAAAAAATATAGCGTCGTAGGAATAATAATTTGGCTTTTAAAATCTGCTAGGACAGATGCCCTGGGCATACCTTCCTTTGATTTGTCTACTTTTTTTTATATAGATATTTTGCACATACTTACATATGACACAAGATGTCTATTAGCATGACCATAATAACGTATTTTTAATGGAGTTTACTCAACTATGTTTAACAACGTATTAGAGCCTCTCGAAAGTGTGAGCTTGCCAATCAATCTTAATTTACCTGTCACTTTGTTTAATGCTTTGATTGAAGCCGCTAAACAATTGATGGCAATTTGTGGTCAGTTTTTGGTGGCTTTTGTTTTAAATTGCTTTGTGAATTTTGGGACGAGTATCAAGTTCGAGTTAAGGGGTAACCATAAATGTTTCCGCATTGGAACTTACCCAATTTGGCGACCAATTGTATAACGATGCTCTCACCGGCCACTGCCCAGCGTATTTCAAATGCCAGATCATCGTAGAGCACCTCACAGTTGAGCTTGGACTAGAAGAGAATTATTTGGGCTTTGTATTTGTCAATAGGCATTTGGAATTGGAGCAGCATGAAATGAGTGTGCATTGGATTAGGACAACATGATTGGGATAAGGATTTGGTTGATGATGAAGCTTATGTGATGGGCTGAATAATCAGCGCTTGCCAAAGTTGAATTTTGTTTATCCAAATGTTAGTCTTTATCAGTTTTTTGCTGCATTCAAAAATTTTGCTTTTCAATTAATTAACTGATTACATTGATTTATGAAGCACATACAAAATGAAAATGTTTTGTTGGTTGGAAGGTAAGGAAAGTTGCTTACGGAATGTACAAAAGAAAACGAAGAGTATAAAAAGAAGGGTTAAGTTAGTATATGGCTCAGGATTGGCGCATGTACATAGTATATATATGTATATATATGTGGTATATGTAGGTGTATGTGTGTGTTTTTGTTGGGTAACTGTAGAGGTGTGGGATTTTTGGGGGACTAGGAGGGAATTGGGATTGGATTGGATTGGATTGGATTGGGCGAACCCAAAGAATTCATTGCACACATTTCATTTTGTATTGGCGCTCAATTCAAACAATAAAAATAAATAAAGACAAAGCAAAAGTTTTTAAAGACAACAAAACACAGAAGATGACCAATTGAGTATATAAATGTGCTGCACATATATTTTATACATCAAATTCAACAAATTCGGTTAATCCATTCAAATACGTAGTATATAAAGAAATGCACACTTAAAGGCTAATAATTTCAAGGCAACTCGAATGTTATTGATAAATATGTTGCATACAAATAAATACGAGTATTAATTAATGTATTTAAATAAATTCCACACGCTTGGCAAGTGCCTATGTTAATGGCAATCAGGTCTGCAGCTCGCTTAGTATTAGATTTAACGGCTTCTTTACCTGTGGACTGATGCCCAGCATTTTCAGTGAGGGCGGCACATTGAGACCCTCCGGCAGACGGACGTGACCAAAGTCAACGGTGAATGCCTCACACCAGACACCAAAGTGTCCAATATCAAAGATGGTCAAATCCTCCGGCAGGGTCAACACAATTGTCTTTCTATCGTAGCGACGCAGTGGAATCTCCTTGCCATTCTCGTCCGGAATGCGCAGGCCATCGGGCGAGGGGCGCTGGCCACGACCCACCCAGAACTTGGCATCTGTAAATTTTAAATGAGTATCCATCGCCACGATGGCTACGGCATGGTACTCACCTGGCGCTTCGCCATCATAGCTGAAGTTGGGCACCAGCAGCGTTTGGGCATCAACAATGACAATGTTATCGGAGGAGACGCCATGCACACCTCTCAGCGCATTTATCTTCTGTGGTCGGGGAAAATCCAAACTGCTTGGAATGGCCACATCACCGAAATTGACAGCAAACTCATCGCACCACACGGAGAACCACTTGACATCGCGCAACGTCTTGCCCTCTGGCAACGACAAAGTGATGTCCTTGTTGCGATAGCGACGAGTTAGTGCTGTGGTGCCACCGCGCTCATCGCGGAGGCGGGCGGCGCCCTCGTTGCTGGGCCGGGCTGTGTTGCCCACATAGAAGTAGGCGGCGGGCGCTTCGCCATCATAGTTGAATTTCTTGATAAATATCGTGCGGGAATCCACGGCATAGACGTCACCGGAAACGCCATGATGCAGTCGTGTTAGTGAGCCGATCTTGGTGCCATAATATGGGTAGGCGGCATCACAGCAGGGCTGTAGTGCTGTTTAAACAAGATACAAAAAAAAGCCGCAAATGTTAGGTTAACCAAAACAAAAGACTTAGGCAACGAACTTGAGTCGGCAATTCACGCGAAAAAAAAAATAAAGTAATAAATAAACAATTCTCCGGCACCACTTAACAGCTACTTAATTATTCGCATGAAATTTACATATTAACAGCAATTTGATTTCTACAACAACAACAAGCAACAACAAACAAAACAATAATCACGTAATATTCTTGGCTGGCTGAGCAAAGTTGACCGAGCAAGAATATAAGAGATAGATAAAAGATTTGTTTATTTTCGGCTTATTCTTATAAGCTGCTAGACGCTGCCTTTTATGATGATTACAAAAAAAAAGCAGTTGTAGATGTTGCGCAAATAATATTAGTCATAAACTTGATGGCGTACAGGAAGTTTGCCAAATAAAGTTCCCTAAAAAAATAACAGCCACAACAACAATGGAGTTTTAGCCACAGCAGAATTTGTGATGCGTGTAACACAGATCTGTTATTTGTTTAAACAAAACAGAGCAATACACGGCGTATTTCAAAGAGATTGCCCAATCCGCCAAATATTAATGGACCGTGTGCTAATTTGAAAAAAACAACGAGTTACGTCTTCTTTTATGGTCGCTTGATTGTACTTTAATTTTAAACAAATTCTATTTTTTTTTTTATTTGTGTGAGTCTTTTGCAACTCATTTGCAAATTGTTTGCGCGTGCATTTTTTATATTCAATTTTTAACTTCAAACTTTACCTTCACAGGCCTTTGCCCAAACTTGGACAAACAAAGCGATCGCAGTCTATGTTGTTGTTGTTGTTAAAATTCAATTAAATTATTTTATGTTTTTTTTTAAAATATATTTTGGTTTGCAGTGGCTATAAACACGTTTGAGTCTTGCTGGCCAACTACTATGGGCGGCCTCCATGGCCTGCAGTTTTTCGACGCGACTAGATTTGGTTATGGGGTTTGGGTATTAGTGGTTTTTGTTGTTGTTGTTGTTGTAGCCGCTGTGCCCACGATCGATTCGTGGCCATGGCAGTTGCTGCTCCAAATATGCAAGTTTGCCGACAAGTCTTTCCTGTCTGCAGTCAGCAAGTTAAGAATCTCGGCTACTGTTTCACACTTGATTGAATGAAAGTGCCGGCAGTGGAAAATACGTTAAAAATTCAATTATTAAATACTGCAGCTTGTAGCGCAACAATGTCGTTGAGTTTTCAAGTATTAGTTAGTAGCCAGTGTGCCAGCCCAAAACCAAACCAAACACGATTGCGCTCTACGACTATGAGCACATGCAAAATGCCAAAGGTGTAATTAAAAGTTAAATAAAAGCAAACAGCAAACACTGCCGTCGAGTGTATCTTATTAATGATGCTCGGGCCGCAGCTAGACAGAGCTATTAGGCAGCCTATCGAGGTGCCAGGTGATCAACAAGCGACTAACCAAATAAAACCCAAACACAAATCTAAACCCAACTGGAACTGGTTGCGGCAATTGCCAATCATTTGCAGTAGTAGCAGCAGCAGCAGCACGGCCAGCACAGCAGCATTTGGCTAATCAATAAATATACATATATCTATATATACTATATACATATATACTTATATATATATATGTATTTATTCGCGAAAACCCAACAAGCAATCTTCAACCTAGAGACCTACTTTCACGTTGCATACAAAAATCCAAAAGAAGATGATGGCGACGAAGAAAAAAAAAGGAAAAAAAAAAACAAGATAAGACGACGGCATTTTCATTGAGGCAATCGGAGGCCTGATCGGAGGTCTTCGAATTGTATCAAGGAAACGCATACACATCAATTTATGCAAATCCGTCAGGCAATGCTAATGCAGTCGATTTACTGTCAGTCAGTCAGTTAGTCAGTCAGTCACTCAGTTGGTCAGTCAGTTAGTCAGTCAGTCACTCAGTTGGTCAGTCAGTTGGTCAGTCAGTTGGTCACTCAGTCAGTTGGCCAGTTCAACGGTCAACGCCACTCATAAAAACGTGGACATACAGACGACTGCGACTACGACTGCGACTGCGACTGCGTCTGTTGAATATTCATTTGGCTTACTTTGCATTCAGACTCATACAAAAGATGATATATTTGCGCCATGTCATACGGCGCATTGTCTGACCGCCCTCCAGCCATTAAAAGATACACACGCCACACACCACACACATCCATACATTTGTACACTAATCTAGTTTTATTTTATTTGTTATTATTATTATTATTTTTTTTTTTTTTTCTGTTTGGCTAGCAAGACCCATTTGCATCACAATGCGCGTTTGTCACTCATAAATCACAGCTTAATCTACTTACAACTCAATGCGGCCAATAGGCCAACAAGCAGCAGCAGCAACGGTTTATCCTTCACTGCTGACATGGCTGTCCAACTGGAACTCCAAATTGGAGCAATGTTTAAATTCTGTTTTGGTTTATATATTCTCGATTGTTTCTTTTTTTTGTCGTTTGTTTGTTTCTTTGAGGATAACACGGATCCTGACACTGTTTCACTCACACACACACACACACACGCACGCACAGAGGCAAGCTCTTGAGCGACTTGCTGTCTTTATTAGGTGGGGGGGTGGACTGTTGTGGGGGCTCTTCGATTGCTGCACGAACACGACCAGACGCTACGAACTCCAAAACCGCACTGAACGTTGCGTCTGCGCTGTGCTTGTGAAGAGTTGAACACTTTGGAACTGCTGAAGTTGCTGTCGACGTCAGCAGCGGGCTGGTTTCTGTTGTTGTTGTTGCTGTTGTTGCTTACAAGTGCTTAGTTGTTGTTATTGCTCTAGCGGCAGCAGCAGCAGCAGCAGAAGCAGTTGTTGTTGATGATGTTGTTATTGGTATTGTTGTTATTGTTATTGTTATTGTTGTCCCCTTCCCACGTCTCATCAGCGTCGCCAATAATTATCACAGTCAAAGCACCAACGCTTGGTTTTTTTTTTTTTTGCACATCTTTTTGTGACGTTTTATGATTTTTTGCATTTTTGTTTAATTTTTTTGCTAATTTTTTATGTGCATATTCAAATAATATTTTGCGCTATGAACTTGTTTCGCTATAAATGCAATTTTTAATGTTTGCGGCCATAACAAAAAAAAAAAACAAAAAACAAAAAACAAAAAAAAGCCAAACCTTTAAGTTGCTCAACTATTTATTTATTTTTTGTTTTTAGAAACTTCGTGTCATTGGCTCATACATACATATGTATATGCAAAAAGTTCAAACAATAAATAATTCAATTTGGCACATTGGTAATTCCAATTTTGGCACTTTGTGGATTGCGTTGATTGTTCAGATATTGGATTAAAAATTAAAAATTAGATAATGCGCGCCCGACTATCAATTTCAGTTGATAGATGAGGTGAAAGACAGCAGCCGCAACTCGTGAGTTGCCGTCTCCAAGTTCACTGCTGGTGGTCGCCTCAATTGCCCCAATTGGCCCGATCGCCTCGTGCTTTGTTGGTTGGCTGCCCAGCGGCTGCTTTGCACAACTTTCTCGTGCAATGGGTTCGCGAAAGGTCAGCAAAATGGTTGGAGCTATCATTGGGGGCCTGTAACCCGTTGGCTTAGTCGCTTGCATAATTCAATTAACATGAAAGTTATTATTACGATCAGTTCCACAATATCTCTCGCTCTCTTCAATCTGATCTCTATTTAGGTATAACTTGGTTTGGGCCGGTTTTCAATCCTTTATTAATTTTTTTATTAACATATGAAATCAGCAATCAGCAGTTAAAACAATAACTTTTAATACAATATATCCATTGAAAATGGATAAAAATTGTGTAATGAACACACAATACTATAGGGCATATATATATATATTCTTGATCAGCGTCCTTCGCCATGGCCGTTCGTCAGTGTGTGAAATGAGAGAAACTCGTAAAATATTTTAGTGATTGTGCAGAGACATTTGCTTATCTGCCACAACATTTTGTAGGACACCAATGAGAATGGGGTTGTCCATTTCTTTTTATTTATTTTGACATCGTTTTGATCCATTTGGTCATTGGTCTTCTTGTTTTTAAATACATTATTTAATACAAAAAAAAAAAACAGTCCAGGGTATCTGTTAGTCGAGCTCTCTTGTCTAGAGCATTCTTGCTGTGTTTCATGTGCCATTGTTTATAATCCTTTCCTTTTTACTATGCAAAGAATGGCATTTGAATCATTATGCATTTGCCATTTTTTGCGCATTTAATTTCGACACATTTTGCGCATTTAAATAAATTAACTCAATAATGTGAGACAACCAATCAAAGCTCATCAGAGTAGCCACTCGAGTTGATAGTTGATGTTTTTTAATTGTCATGCTGAAAAATGAGCAGTAGTATTTGATAATATAATCATATTTATGTGATGATTTCCGCGAATTGTTACAATACAATTCATAATCATGTTATTGAAAGCTTTAACAAAACCCCATTAAAAAAAAATTTATATGTTTTTTGGAACACATGTTTTTTGAACAAGCGATAAACTTTGGCTCGACTAACATTTCTATACAAAATCGAATATAAAAAATAACAATAAACTTTTAATTTAATTATAAAAATAATTATAGTGCATAGGGTCATTGATGATTAATTAAACACTCTACAAAACAAAATAAAAAAACCCCAAAAAAAAAAGCACTAATCAGTAAACAAATTAATTGAAGATATTGGGCTATAAGAATAGGTCTATCATGAATACATAATATGCTGACATTGTAAATGATTATAATCAAAGTTGGAAGGCATCAACACGCCCCCTAAAAAGTCATGTCCATAAACATAGGTTAGTGTTTCATATAAATTATGGAAAGTCATCATAATTCATCTTGCATACTTTTTTTTCTTTCACTTTAAGCTTTATTGAAGACATCAAAATGCGATGTATCTTTTTTGAAATGTTTTCGTAATCAACGTATGGGGTGATTTGCGGAGGGGGAGAAGCGTTGAGCGCTAAACCAACGGGTTTTCATTGCGTGAGCGACTCTTATGATTATCTGGCAATAAAGCAAACTATCCCAGTGCGTGCCTTCTCCCATGAGCATGTATAATTTGAATCGCCACAAATTAGTTTTGAATTTCTTAACTGACATTGAAGTTCAAGCCAGCGATGACCAACTTACAACTTGCAACTAACAGCCAACAACTAACAGCCAACAACTAACAGCCAACAACTAACAGTCAACAACTAACAGTCAACAACTAACAGCCAACAACTAACAGTCCCAGTAGCAATTAACATTCAAAATTAAGACGTAAAGCTACCACATTTGGATGTTCGGTTGCTAGCTGGCCGGCTCTTGTCTGGCCTGGTCTGGGCACTTTCGCAAATACATATAAACACATATATCTTATACATAGACACACACACACACACACATCGCTGGCAACGTGCTGTTTGTTAGATTTATTGACCAAGTATCTTCGCATGCAAATGCGTTTCTGTCTCTTCGATAATAAGTCAGTCGGTAAGATTTCAAATAAAATCAGCTAAGAGTGAACTGCGAGCCAGTCCGTAATTAGCCATTGTTATTTCAAATTTCATTCAGGTGACATTTGTGAAAAGATTATATATCACAAGGACAAATGGATAATGCTATTGCATATTTATGTACATACAGCGGGTGTAAGCGACTATAAATAATTTAATCATAAAAATGCAAATATGATAAAATATAAATAGTAAACAAATATATTTGTATTTGTGTATGAAAATACCATTCATGTGCTAATATATCTTTATAATCAAACAGCTCGGTGTGAGACAAAAGAATGATAACTTGGCACGAATGCTTAGTCTATAGAAAATGGTATAATGAGGTTGTGCAAAACTGGGTAACATCTCCAATGTCCATATATTTTTGATCTGGATCAGCATGCTGATCTCAGAGACTATAAGATCTACAGGTTTGGGATATACAATTAGCTGTTAGTAATGAATTTTTATTTATTTCCATAGAGTTATTAAAGAGTGGAAATATTTGTGGCTGTATTCTACAAAGACCGAAATGTGGTAATAAAACTAGAATAATTTAATATTTACCAGCTAGTTTCAGGGTACCTCGTAGTCGAACTCACTCGACTATATAAAATCAGAATTCGATTGTTTCACAGAACTACTGCTAATATACACTATATATATACGCAGCTGGAGATGCATAAACCATATTTACTATTATTATTATTTATATTTTCACATATTTTTTGGCTATTCCATTTTAGATTATATACAAATACAAATAGAAGCCCGTCACTTCTTTTGCAAATTTACTTCAAATTAACCATAACACTTATATGTGCTTTAACTTATAGCAATTACAATCACATCGTGTCTGATCACTTGTGATCATTTCCTTTTCCCGTCTGGATACATTAACGCTGCAAATACAACAACTGCGATTAGTTTTCTTCCTCTCACCGAGTGTTTGCACTCACGACTCACAGTTGGCATGATATATGTGATATGTGTAGATACGTATGCATATCAGGTTGGCATCGCGTGGGACGCGTTGCAGCAAAATTGAAAGTTTCGAAACTATTTTCGATGGTTGGCAAACAGCTCACACATTTGGCGCGCTAAGGTCAAGCAAATTGCATAAATCGCGAGGGGGGCGCGTCTAAAAAACAGCAAAAAAACCAAAAAAAAAAAAAAAAACCTTAATCAAAATTATACAAACACGAAATAAAGATCAGTTTAACACGTCAAAGTGGAATAGCTAAGAGTGCTCGAGTCACAGTTACCCTACATTTTAAATAATTAATTCGAAATCAAACAAAAGCCTTTTGGGAACAATAGTTCCAACAGGAGATAGTGCACTGAAAAACTTTCCTTGGATTTTATTTATGTATTTATAAAAGCAAATGTTGTTTGAAATCAATTCTGCTTAATCAAATCTTATATAGATATATCTCAAATAAAATTCATTTAATCGGGCTTAAACGTGGCTTATACATTTTTGTTCATCATGTTTTTGCTCTCTCTCTCTCTCTCGATTTTTCCATATATATGTATAGCGTTTTAATATACTCAATGCGCATATTATAGAGGGTATTAAAATTGGAAAGGCAGCGTATTAATTTTTATGACTGCAATGACTCGACATTTTCTAATCAGAGTAGCTAGAGCCATCATCATTAGCGTCAGCGGCACCAGCACCAACCGTATATAAATTCAGATTTTGTCGAAAAACAAACAACATCTTGGAATATTATCAAATTGTTGATTTCAAGCAAATCGCGTGCCTTCAATTTTTAATTGACTTAATTAGACACACAAAAGAGCTTAGCTTAGCTCTGTGCACAAAGCTCCCGCAGACAAGAAGAACCAAAAGCTCTCTGACCTTGAGTAGCCAATCTCTTTGTGGTTTCTTTTGTCATCTTGTTGTTGCTGTTGTTGCTGTTGTTGCTGCTGGTGCTGCTGCTGCTGTTGTTGCTGCTGTTGGTGTATTCGCAAGCGTGTTGGAGGGGCGTCTATTGGCCTCTTGGGACCTTTCGGCTGCACATTGTTTATGACTTGATTGTTCAGCTGGCGCTGCTTCTTCGGCTAGAGCTGAAGCCAGCGTCTTCTACAATTCAAGGGCACGGGAGCTAACACGGTCATTATGTATTTCTATGTATGCTGATCTGCTGCTGCTGCTGCTGGCACATTTGATCAAATTGAATGGTTTACGTTGGTTGCCCGGCGTCGTCCGCAGTGATTTCTAATTTGAATTTTTACTACCATGCATTTGCAAATAATGCTACGACTCTTGACTGTCGACCGTCGACTGTCGACCGTCGACCGTCGACTCTCGACGGTTGTGTGCCGTGCTTGTTTGGCTTATTTATGGCCAGAGCTCGTGTAATTAATCTTCTGTAAAGTTGTAATACTAACTGCATACATACACCTGTAAACACATGTATATGTACATAGCTGAGTGCTGCATGCTAGCCAGGCCAAGTCTCAGTGCCACATTATTAGCCACATGCCATTAGTTTTCGCCGCCTCGCATAAATTTACAAATTGCCTTTTGCATGCATTTCTAATGCGACTCTTTATGACATTCGAGTGCTGACGGAGCAGGACGGAGCGGGGGGCTCAAAGTTTTGGATGACTGGACCTGTATGTTGAGTCCAAAGCATACATTAGTATTACAAATTCTACGCTTAAATACATATCATACTGAATCATAGAAACTTATGGATGAACAATGTACACAAATGTGAATGGGAAATTAACAGTTTTACAAGGTTTAAATCACACGACTTCTGCGTGTTGTCACTGTTAACTAATTTTTCAAAAATGTTGTTGTTCTGCTATGATTATGTAAGTACCGCTACTTATAACAATAACAATAACAATAGTTTTTCGCATAAATGTTATGCCATGAAAGCATATTTTGGATGAGGAAATCACCGTTACAACGAAGCGAAGGCTTCTCGGCAAAACGACCCACGCATAGACTGCAATTAACTGTCAAATGACGAAACACACTCAAAAGAAGACACAGCGTATTAGGTAGACAATAAAAAAAACACACATTTGTACAAATTTACGCATACCACATAACATGCATATCAGCTGCTTACATGTGCATGTACATATGCACATATGCATTTGTATGTATAAATGTGTATGTTGTGCGTCTGCGGACCTTATTAATGAACACACGGAGCACACGTGACACACGAATATTCATAATGCAGATTGAGTAAAGCCGGGATGTTGCTAGAAAAATCTACCTTAATTTGTAAATGTCAGTCTAAAGTTAAACTAATAATAATATAATTCAATGACACATCTGCATAATCAAATTAATAATGATAAAGAAACGTGTTGTAAGCTGTAAGAACATACTGGGCTTCAATTGAGCTGAACACTGGTTTAGCGAGATAAAATAAACATAATAGTAATTTACAGCTAAAAGCTATTTAAAATTTACTTTTTTAAGCTTTTATTTAACAAGATTTGGTTTATGAAAACCAAAACTATACTAAGCTGTGCATATACCCACACAAATGTTTCTATTACACAGGTGAACAGTCAGATCTGTGATTTTATGATTGTTAAACTTATAGCCAGTATGTTAATAATAAAAATAAATGTTAATTAAATTTTTTGAAATTATTAAATAAATCAAAATCAAAAATTATGTTGTCAGCATTCAATTTAACGAAATGAGCTACATACAACGGAAAAAGCTAAAACGCCATCACTGCCAGTAACGAGAATAGGAAACAGAGAGAGAGGGAGACTGAGAAAGAGAACGACGATCGCTAGCATATGCTAAGAATATACATGTGTGTATAAAACTGTTAAGCACCCCGTGTGGGAAGCGCATATCAGACAGAGTGTTCTTTCTGGCTGGCATTATACTTGTATACTTGTAGCTGAGCAGCTGAGTATAGCAGAGTATTTTGAAAAAAGCAAAGCGAAACAGTTTTGAAACGAACGCGAAACAGAGCAAAACGTTTGCTGTCAATCGTGGAACGCGTTAAATTACATTGTTCAACATTTGAAATAAACACAAAAACTAATACAAAATACAATTTGTTGATTAATTGAAACAAGAAGCAAATAAACAAAAAACAATTACAAAATGCACAGCAAACTTTTGGATGAGGTACGTTTATTATTCATTAGTTTTAAGTACTTTGCAGTATTTGCCAAGAATGAAAATTGTCTTCGGGTTTGCCGGCTTTTAGTGGCTATTTTTGTTGGCAAATGTTTTGCGTCCAATTCCCGATTGACGCCAACAGATCACGCTATTACTTAGTCATCCATCTCTGTGGGCACCCACCGCCCACCACGTCAACTCTTTGTGTCATCCGTTTATTTACATTTATCAGCATCATAAACATTGGCAGCCAGTGCGTCGCCATCGGTTTTTCACGGAAAAGCCAATTGCGGAAAAGCATTCCTTTATTGCTGGCTTGGAAACAAAGACAGAGATGGCCAATTGAGGAAATATATCAGCAGTGCTTAAACCAAATGGCCAAGTCATTATTTTTTGGTCCATTTGGGTGCAGTGCAAAGTCAGTACAAATCAGCTGGAACATTCGGAGCGCAACAAAAGCGAATGAGTCTTATAATCTAGACGACGAGTTCGACACTCGCACACGGCCTGGTCGCGTTCCATGGTCAGACTAGTTCAAATGGCACAAACAAATTTATGATGCTCGAGCAACTGGTTTTCCAACGCTGAATAATCTGCATTTATACATATTCATATTTATGCTAATTATTAAACACGCTCCCAGCAAACACATTAGCTGACTTGAGTGTTTGAGTGTGTATATGTAACTGTAACTATTATCGAAACGAAATAGAACTTGTGCAAGTTCCTTAGTTCCACTTCGACAAATGATGACTTAACAGTCAACACTCGGTTGTATTACAAAACCAGCCACATTCCCCTCCCCTCCCCCACTCCACCACCTACGTGCAGTTGCCATTATCACATTGTATGACATAAACACACAGCTGCTGCATAATCGTTTCATAGCATTCAAACATTTGCTGACCCCAGCTGTAATTTTCCATAAGCTCGTGTACCGCGATTCGGTCAATTCCTTCTCCCCCATTCCCACGTACCCCTTTTTTCAATTGCTGACGGACGTTTTATTTTTGTACATTTGCTTGGCGCATTCGTCGTCAAAAGGTGATTGGTGGTGGTGGAGGCGCAGGGGGAGTGGGAGGGGTAGGCTGACCCCACCGATGATCGGTGCAGGTGTGTATTGGTATGCGTCTTTGAATCACTGCGACTATTTATACTCTCGCTTTTCATTTTGTTACTCAAGCCATTCGAAATATACTTATTCGATTCAGCCAAACTCGGAGAGCGCCCAAGAAGACGAGAAAACAAAACGAATTTTCACCATTTGCATGCCAAAACTTAGATACTCTTATCGGATGCACAACTAAATAGCACACATTTTTAATAACAAAGAGAATAAGACAGTCCATCAAAAGCTATGACAATGAGTTTTACTGATACTTTAATTGCAATATTAAATTTTCTTATATTTTTTAAAAACTTTACCTATATGAAAATAATTTTAATCTTTGCCATTTTTAGAATATTTTGAATGTTATTTCTTCAAGATCATTTTATTGTCCACATTCAAGAAAAGATTTATTATCATAGTTTACAATAAACAAACATATTTTTTTAATGCATATATTTCGCTAAAATTATAATTTAACGATACTATAACAAAGCACATAAACAAATAGGAATATTTTGAATACAGTTTGCGATGCGTTACAAAATGCACAAGAAATTGTGAATGCTTTTCAGATATTAGCAGATTTCCGTAGCAAACGCTACCAAAGAAAATGTATGAATTTTCAATTTCACGTTGAGTGATTTCACTGAATAAGCACGAATTTGGCTTTTTGCATGTCAAATCGACTGACCGCTTTGGCTTGTCGAGGAATTTGCTAATTAGCAGGTATCACAGCTGTCAATGCAACACAAAGGAAACAGTTTGCGTGATTAGCGCAGTAGCCCAAGGGGAGAGATGTACTTACATACATACACACACATATATATATATATATATAAATCTACAAGCTTGTGCACGCGTGTGCCAATTACACCACAGTCGGTCAATCTGATAATGATCGTGGATTCAGGGTGGGGGCTCCAGACGCAGACCAGACGGCGCGGCGATAAGCGAGCGTCCAACAATGCTCAGCTCATGATTCACATAACGCAGTCCTCGACTGTCAAAATGACACAGCGATTTGGGTAACCCATAAGAAAAGTGGTTTGATAAGTCGCAAAATATACACAATCCCAGCCACAAATAAAACTTTTTTTTATAGTATAATTTTTACAGTCTGTTTGCAGCCTGTGCTTGTTTTAAATGATATTATAGCTAATTAAATTTCCTTTCAAAAATGTTCATCTAGTATGTATAAAAACTTCAGAAAAATAACCGATTTAATTTATTGCAGAACATTATTTAACTTTCGCACCTATGATAATCTTAACTTCAAGACTGTGGGCAAAATTAAAACTTTGCCCAATTCCGATATGTATGAAAGATTATAGACATTTACATATATAATATCGGCGTTCTCTTCGTTCGCTAATATACAGTAAAAATATAACATTTGCCATACAATAGAAAGTACAATCAAAAATTTGTACTTTAAGCACTTAAGATTTTCTGCAGCTAGAACCAAATTGTTGCAGAGAAAAGGAAATAAGTTTGAATGAGAGCTGGACTAGGAGATACCCTGCTAAACACATGCTAAGCGTGCTAATTGTATTTGAAAAACACTTTTTACTGTTGATCAATAATATGTGTGGGTTCCAATTGATATCCAATAATAATATAATTCAATTCTATGTTTGAATGCTATAGGATATCTATTTGTATAGATATTCGTCAAATGAAGGCATTTATCGATAAATCTGATCTGTGTATGTTGAGCAAGAACTTATATTTCAAATTTGACTTCAATTTCACGGCTATTTCATATTGACGGGCAGATGAATATGCCGAAATAAACTTTAAAATGGGTCCAAGTATTTAATGGAGTTCGAGTTGTTATTTTTTCAGCCTGTTACATACTTTTCTACAACTTCATTATACCTTTGTTTTTCCTCTTTAATGGGATCAGAGTAAAATAAATAATGACAAAGCCACATAAAACGTGCCTGCTTATTATATAAAGGAATATTTTATTTATAGAACACCATTTTCATCATATTGAAGACAAAGTTTTATCTGCAGATATATTTATACAATTTATTTAATTTAAAATTTGAACAGATTAAAAAAATCACTTTTGTATAATATGTGTATCTGAAATAAATAAAAATAGATATACATTTTAAGCTAAAAAATATATTCTACATGATAAGATAAAATGTTGTCTGCAAATGTGCGATTGTAGCTTGCAAAGTAATTTCATCTTATTTAGTTCAGATATAAATATTTGTTGTATATATATTATTTCTTGATTTTCTTATATTTATAAAAGTTGAGTTTAATTGTAATTTATATTCGAATTGCAGCTCAACGAGAATGGTTACATTGTCATAGAGGACTTTTTAACACCCGAGGAGGTGGAGTCGATGTATCAGGCCGGGCGGACGCTCTGCATGGATGCTCCACAGTCGAATCGGAAAATCTTCAGCACCATCAAGGCGGAGGATGCGCATAGCAAAGAGCTGTACTTTATGGAGTCCGGCGACAAGGTGCGCTACTTCTTCGAGCAGGGCGCCCTCGGAGATGATGGGCAGTTGATTGTGGATCCAATGATCGCACTGAACAAAGTGGGTCATGCTCTGCATGTGGAGCATCCTACATTCAATGCGTTGACATTTAGCAATCGTGTGCGCGAGATTTGCTGGCAACTCAACTTTAATCGTCCGGCCGTCTGCCAGAGCATGTATATATTCAAGAATTCCGGCATTGGGGGCGAGGTGACGCCACATCAGGACTCCTGGTTCCTGCACACAGAGCCCAACTCGGCCGTGGGCTTCTGGTTTGCGCTCGAGGATTGCACCCTGCAGAACGGCTGCCTGCAGTTCATCAAGGGCTCCCACAAGAGTGGCGTCCATCGACGATACCTCCGCAACCCCGATGCAAATGCCACCGAACTTATGGTCTATGATCGGTCAGCACCCATATACCCACAGTCCAGCTTCACCCCGCTCCAAGTGAGCAAAGGTGAGTGAAATGAATATATATTTATATATGAGAGTTTTAATTATCCTTTTAATCTGTGACAGGCACTTGCATCGTCATCCATGGCAATGTGGTGCACAAAAGTGAGCCGAATCGCTCGCAGAAGAGTCGCCACGCGTACACCTTTCATGTGATTGAGACTGAGAACAATGTGAAGTATTCAGAGGAGAACTGGCTGCAGGCGCCGCTGGATAAGCCATTCCCCTTGCTATTCGAACGCAAAGATTAGGAGGCCGATGTGAATTCGAAATCGGTGATTTTAATCGTGATCAGATTCGTATCACTTCTGCCTCTTTTTAATTTTGGTATTTTTGTTTATAAGATGTGAGTTAGTTTTTTGAACGAAACTGAATGAAAGCGCCATACATATATTTTAAGTTGTTGTACATGTCGAATTTTATTGAAATTACAATGAATAAAGACTAATATGTATATAATTTTATACTTTCAATTCTTGTATGGCAGAAACATTGGCAATTTAATTTTATTAATTACTGTGGTTTATGAACAGGCTACTCGATTTTTAGTACATGCTCAAAATGGTTCTTGGCGTTAATTAGACAAGTTTCAATTAGTCGTGTGTCAAACCAAATGCCAGTGATCAAAAAACATCGAAAATATCGTGGCAAGCTTAGACACAACTCTATTTTGAGCAGCCTGAAAGTAGGCACTTGTTTTCGGCAAATGTAGTATTTATTTACGACGATGAAATTGACAGCGCCTCAAAGTATGCTGCCATATTGGTAAGGCCGAAGTGCATTAGCAGTTGGTAGTTGTATTGGGAGTAAATAAATTTGTGGAGATTTGATTTAAAAACAATTTAAAATATTTATTTGGAAAATTCGTTAAAACGAAAAATTGTAGTACTCAATATATTGAAGAATAGCTGGCACAAAATGAATTGTGTTCTATGGAAATAGAAAATTGTTTGTTAAATGCAAATTAATATTTTGACTTTTAATTCTAAGCTGTTCGAATTAAAATAAAAGATACAAGAAAAAATCGCTTAAGTTCGAGCTTTTAGTTAAATGCAAATTAAGATTTTGACTTGAAATTTGGATAGTTCTTAATTCAAGGGGCATCACTTTTCGTTAAATCAATGAAATGCTTAGAAAAATATGCATAAATCAATTTATTCATACCTATGCAAATGCTTATAAGTATTGTATAAATATATATATATATATATTTATATATATACTAATCGATTATAAAAAAGCCCCAGCATCTTCAATCTTAGCTAAACTTTAGCCAAATTATATTTGAATTCAGCACATCTTTCATTTATTTATCAGTGGTGTCAGTCGAACAAATTGCTTGAAAACCGCAACTGGAATAATCGTAATTTAAATAAATTCAAATAAAACAAGTTTCAATCTAATTCATGTCGATATTTATGACAATCTCTTGGCACGAGATCAAATGACGTTTACTCATTCGCAGATATCCTTTGGCTGCTTCCAGTTTTTCTTGAATAAGATAGAATCTGGCAAAAGGAACCTTCACTTATAATTAATGTGACTAATTTGTGATAATCGACATGGGAATCTTGTTTATTAAACGTTTTGCCAAAAACAAAAAAGCAAAAAAGCAAAAACCCGGCCAGCTTCCATGCAGCCTTTCACATGTTTCACACACACACAACACACACACAAACTGAGTGGACAGTTTGTGTTTTTGTTGCTGCAGCCTTTTGTTGTCGCTGCTGTATCTGCTGGCTTCTTCTTGTGTGGATGTGTGTGTGTGTGTGTGTGTGTGTGTGTGTGTGTGTGTGTGTATGCAATGTTCTTTCATGTTGCAAAACGATTTGTTGGGCGCAAGATTTATGAACTTGTTTTCCCTGACAGCCGACAGTGGTTAAGGTAACACACACACACACAAGCTCTCTCTCTCTCTCGGGGCATGTGTGTGTGTGCGTGAACATGCCGCTAATTAGAAGATTTTAATTATCTGTTTTCAATCAGCTTCCACACAGATAATGATAATACTGCCTTGTTCTCGTTTTTGTTTTTGTTTTTGTTTTTGTCTTGTTTTTTTCTTCTGTTTTTTTGCTTTTGGTAAACGGCTATTTAAGCCAAAATGCTGTTGACATTTTAGCGACGATGTCGCTGTTGACGGTCAGCAAAATTTTGGTAGGTGTTTTTGGTATCACGGCCACGCGAACGCTGCCAATAAGTGCTGTCAAAATGTCCTAAATCGATTAGAATTGATTTTGAGAAGCTCGCTGACAGGCTAAACCCCATCTCATCACAGCCCCAGCCCGAACCCCCCCAACAATCTCTTCCTGATCCTGTGTCCCCGCACACAATCACAATAGCGGATTACAGTTGTGTCTGTCGTGTTCTGTGGCCAGCAGCAGCGGCAGCAGCAGCCCAACAGTTGATTGTCGGCCTTTTTGCCGAGTTGCCTCGTTGCGAGTTGCGTGCTTAAAGGCCCAAAAGGAGGCGATGTCGCTGTCATTGACGATTTATGTCAACTGCCGCCGCGGCACAATATTCAAATTCTTTGCATTCACTCATCACTTGTCGCCATCGAGTCGTTTCAGCCTTTCAGTTTTGGCAGGGGTTGCGGATGGAGGATGGTGGATTGGACATTGGGGGTTGCCAGTTAGGAGCTGGGAACGGCATCGGCTTTTGAAGCGCTGAGCTGCAAAATTATGTGTCCGGCATGGAATACCTGGCGAGGGTTGCTCAATTACGTATTAGCTTCATTATATATACAAATAATATTATAATTCAACTCATAGAAATTTCTTCTTACATCAGTTTATGCTCAGTGTAGACATTCAAGATCGATTAATTATTATCTTTAAGGAATAAGAACGCTTAAGAGAAATTTCTATTTTACAACATTTAACTTATCTATTACTAAAAGTATTCATTTTCAATTTAAACTTATTATTTTTCATTTAATTAATTTTATTTGCAATTTTGAATATTTTCTTTTAAGATTTGTGTACTGCAACTAAAATAAAAATAATAAAAATACTAAAAATACTAAAAATAATAATGAAATAATAAATAAGTAAAACAAAATAAAGTAGGAAAACTAAGAGTGAAACAATTATAGGAAATACATTAATTTCTTTCACTAAATATTTATATTTAAGGACAAACAATAAAAATGAGATTTTTTACAACTCATTCAAAAATCAGTTTGCTTTCAAACGCTTGCTTCCAAAAGTATGCTATATGTGTGGGTGGGCACTAAATGAAATTGAATCGGAAATGATTGCAATTTGAAATTGCATTATTAAATTGATTTGAATGAAAATGTGGCACTTTGCAGGCTGGTAAAATTTGTGATGCCACCCACTGGCCGTGTGGCATATTTGTGTGTACTTAACTCGCCACTTCGCTTAGCTTGCAACACACAAATTGAATTCAGAAAACAAAATTTATTTAACTCTAATGGATTTGGGCAGCCCGAGTGGTTCTCAAAGCCAAATCATTGCCATTGCCCACTGCTTGCCGCTTGCCGCTTGCCACTCTCCTCGCTCCGCCCGATTATGCATTAACCATTCTCCATTCTCTCTTATCTGCCGTTTCTCGCGCGCCGCATGCCACGCCAGGTTGAGCGCGTTGCGTTACTTTGATTTGACAGGATTCATTGTCTCCGCCACTTGAATGACTTCAAGCTTACGCGCCGCACTCTCAGTCCAAATCACCGACTCCGTCTCCGTCTCCGTTTCAGTGCCACTGCCAGTGCCAGTGCCAGTCCCAGTGCCAGTGCCAGTGTCTCAGGGCATACTATGGCCACATTATTGTCCGCATCGTGGAATCCATCGTCGTCGTCGTCGTCGTCGTCGTCGTCGTCGTCGTCTTCGTCTGCGTCTTCGTCGTTGTTGTGTGAGAGGAGTGAAGTCAATGCGTATTGACATTTTAAATGCGTCCATCACTTTGGGTAGACTTTTGGTTTTGGTTTTGGCTTGCTGCTTGCCGCTTGCTGATCGTTGACGGAATTGATTTAAATATATTTGGGCCCCAAGGGGCCACAGTTCGGCCCTGTCGCTTGTGTTTTAGTGGCCATGGGCAGTAAATTGGTAGGAAGCTGCTGTTGCTGTTGCTGCTGCTGTTGCTGCTGCTGCTGTTGCTGCTGCTGCTGCTGTTGCTGCTACACCAGTGGAACTTATAAGCGACGCGCATTTTTGGTCGCTGTGATTGACTTGTGTCACTTTGTCTCATTTGTCAGGCGAACGCCTTCATCCAGTTGCTGGCGCTTAAGTGTCAGTTGTCTCATTGGGCACTCAATTGAAATGTTTTGTTGGCCATCAATACGGATGGATCTGAGCTGGATCTGGCACTCAAGGCTTTTGTCCGAGTCAGTATGACATGCGCCTGCATTCAAATGCCCATCAAATCATTACACAGGCGGACACACACCGACTGTGTTGGGCGCATCCTTTTGGCAATATCCTGCCGCAAAATCCCCACAGCAACAGCATACGTGCGATTTATGACAGCTGTGTGTGTGAGTGTGTATATTGGTGTGGGCTATAGCCTGGTACAGGAAATGTCCTGCCTGTTAACCGGAGATATGTTTCATATCCTGCAACACGTAGCCGACCACCGACCACCGACCACCAACTACCGTGGGAGATTCGCATTCATTTCACAATTGAATGCCGCAACTCAGACAACTATGACAGCCAAGATTTGTTTGCTTGCCTCCCCCACTTTTGCCCAGCTTAGTCCAGCTACTCGTGGCTGATTCGCAAAAGGGTTTCAACTCTGCTAATTCGCGGCTCAATATTGTTTGATTGAATACAATTTGAATGGCGCTTAGTCCTTGCCATGACAGCCTGACAGCGGCCTCTAGCTAAACGCATCGCAAACGTTTCGACTTTGTTTTATTACATCTATATTTATAAGTATTTTAAAACCTCAATTTAACTAGTAAGTTATCTTAGAAGAAGCTATGTTAATATTAATAACTCAACTCACTCAAAGGGATACAACTATTTCTAGTCGAATGCAAATTTGTTGGAAGTCATTAATTGAGTTTAATAAAAAATATCACTGATAAAATGTAAAGTGAATTGGATAAATTACTAAATTGGCTAAGAAATGGCTTGAAAGTTGAGTTCCTTATTTAAATTATTATATGCATAATGTGGTATTTTTATCTTATCCATAGATCAACTATAAGAGCAGTATAAGGAGAAATTATCTACACTATCCAAAATCATATTTTCAGTATTTAAAAACTTAATCTGCTGACGATCAGAGTTAATATAGTCATGTCTGAGTGTCATTCTATCTATTTTTCTGTTTATATGTCTGATTATTTTACATTTTTTAATTTATATTTCAATTTAATAAACAATAACAAGAGATGAAAAGATAGAGAAATATAGTTATTTAGAGAGATACAAAGAGAACAACGGAGATATATATTAAAATATAGCATATGATTATACATCTTAAAACAATCGATC